ACCTGTAAACCTTCTAGAAAGGATTCAACATACTAGATGCCATGAAGAACAAAGAAGTCAAAACACCAACATTAACAGGAGTTTGGAAGAAGTTGATTCCATCCCTCCTGGATAACTTTGAGGGGTTTGAGACCTCAGTGCAGGAAGGAGCTGCAGCTGTGGTGGGAACTGCAAGAGAGCTAGAGTTAGAGCTGGAGCCTAAAAGGACTGAATCGCTGAAACCTCATGGTAAACTTCAATGGATAAGGAGCTGCTGCTTGTGGATGAGCAGACAAAGTGGTTTCTTGCGATGCAATCTACTCCTGGTGAAGATGCTGTGAAGACTGTTGAAATGACAACAAGGAATTAGAATATTACATAGACTTGGCTGATTAAACAGAGGCAGGTTTGAGAAGACTGCCTTCAATTTTTCTACTGTGTATAAAATACTATAAAACAGTATTGCTGCTACAGAGAAACTGTTTGTGAAAGAAGAGTCAGCAAACTTCCTTGTTGTCTTAAAATAAGACACAGTCACTACAACCTTCAGCAACCACCACCCTGATTAGTTGGCAGCCATCAACATAGAGGCCAGATCTTCCACAAGCAGAAAGATTATAACTCACTGAAAGCTCAGATGATGGCTAGCATTTCTGGTAAGATATTGATATTTTTAGACATAATGCTACTGAACTCTTAACAGACTGCAGTATAGTACACACATAACTTTTATACACCCTGGGAAACCAAAAAATTTGTGCAATCTACTTTATTGCAATACTTGCTTTATTTCAGCTGGCTGGAACCAAATCCATAGCATCTCTATGTCTGTACCTCAATGTATCAAAAGTTATGTATGAGACTCACACAGTGAATATTACGCTCAGTGGTAAAAGACTGACAACTCTGCTCTTAAGATGAGGAACAAGGCAGAGTATGCTTGCTTTCACCATTTCTATTAACATAGTAAGTTCCAGCCAGAACAATTAGGCAGGAAACGAAAAGAAAGGCATTCACATCGGAAAGGAAGAAGCAAAATTATCTTTGTTCAAAGATGACATACAGTTGACCTTGAGCAACACGGGTTTGAACTATGAAGATGCACTTATACATGGATGTTTTCAACACACCCAGCACGACACAATCCGTGCTCAGCTGAAAATCCCAGATGCAGAACTATCTGTGGCAGGTCCTGAAACTCATCCCTGTGGGATGCCAAGAGATGGCTGGGATCTATGTATAAAATCTAAAAGATTCCACAAAAAATTGTTAAGACTAATAAAGAAATTCAGCAAACTAGCAGACTACAAAATCAATGAGCAAAAATCAACTGCACTTCTGTACACTAAAAATGAAAACTCCAAAAAGGAAGCAAAGAAAAACAATTCCGTTCACAATAGTAGCAAAAAGAATACAACACTTAGGAATTAACACAAGGAAGTGAAAGTACTGTACAATAAAAACTACCACATTTTACTGAAAGTAAAAACACAAAGAAACACTCCATGTGCTACACAGTACGCTAACTATAGTAAAAATACTGTACTGAATATATAGATGTCACTAACAGAGTAGATCTTAAAATCTGTCATCACAAGAAAAAAAATCATGTAGCTATGTGTGTGACAGATGTTACCTACACTTACTGGGTGATCATACTGCAGTATAAATAAATATCAAATAATTATGCTGTACACCCAAAACAATTTCATATGTTCATTTTTATCTCAATTAAAAATTAAAAACTCATTATGTATAGAGGTTAAAAAAAAAAAAAGACATCCCATGCTCATGGGTTGGAAGACAATATTATGAAGTCAAAACTACCCAAAGCTATCTATACATTCAATGGAATCCTTATCAAAATCCCAATGCGGTTCTCTGGAGAAACAAAGTCTTTTCAACAAACGGAACTGGGAAAGCTGAATATCCACACACAGAAGAATGAAGTTGGACCCTTACCTAATACCATACACAAAAATTAACTCAAAATGGATCAGAGACCTACATTAAAAGCTAAAACTATAAAACTATTAGAAGAAAACAAAGGGCAAAAGCTTTACTATGGATTTGGCAATGATTATTGATATGACAGCAAAAGCAGAGGCAAAAAAATAACAAATTGGATTTCACAAAAATTAAAAAAAGTTGTGCATCAAAGGTCAAGGGGTTAATATCCAGAATATGGATAGAACTTCTGTTAATTCAATAATAACATCAACAACAACAAAACCAAGCAACATAATTTAAAAATGACAAAGGACTAGAATAGACATTTCTCTGAAGAAGATATGCAACTGGCCAACAAGCATATGAAAAGATGCTCAAAAAAAAAAAAAAAAAAAGAAAAGATGCTCAACATCATGGATCATCAGGGAAATGCAAAGCAAAACTACAGTGAAACACCGCCTCAGAGCAGCCATGGGGGCTGCTGCCAAAGAGAAGAGGGGAGAACAAGTGAACGTGGAGACACTAGAACCCCGGGCAGTGCTGCTGGGGGTCTAAGACGGTGCAGCTGGCAGTTTTCGTATGATCCTGCAACTCTAGTCAAAAACCCAAAAGAATTAAAAGTGGGGTCTCAGAGGACATCTGCGCCCCCATGCTCACAGAAGCCAAAGCATGAAGCGATCTACAAGGCTGTCGCAAGCAGCGTGCCGTTGCGTACACTCGCTGGGCCATCGTCCAGCCGTAAAGTGAGAGGGAATCCTGATACCTGCTACACTGCGGGTGGAGCAAACTGAGACACACCAGTCACACAGACAGACATTGCAGGATTCCACGCGCCAGTATTCACACCAGAGAGAGCAGAACGGTGGCTGCCAGGGACTGGGGAACTGGGGAATGTTATTTAATGGATTTCAGTTTTCCAAGATGAAAAGTGCTCTGGAGATGGATGGTGGGGATGAACATGAATCATATGAACACTTGCTGTCTGTGAACCGCACACTAATGCGTGGTTAAGACAGTAGATTTCATGTTACATGTATTTTACCAAGAGTGAGAAGTGGAAAGGAAAGGCTGCTCACAGTCACACGGCTAGTGAGTGGGAGATGGAGACTAGAAAGCAGGTTTTCTGATCCTAAAGCTGGTATTGCTGCCACAGCAATGGGCCACTTTTCAAGGTGCATCTCACAAGCCCCCCCACTCCAACCCTGCATCCTGCCTTCCTCCACAGAGCCCGATGTCACTTTTCAACTTCATTTAAGTAGCAGAAGGGGGTTCTGCCAGGCCTAGGGACAGAGACAGGAAGCCACGGCTTGATTCTGTTTCTGACTTAGCACCACATGCTGTCAGCTGCCTGTGCTGGGGGTGTGGGTGGGAGGGGTGTTTGTTTTAGGAGATGTGCATTGGAGTCTTACAAAGTTCACGTTAACACGTCGGAGCTGTCACATATAAAAACCGTCAAGACCAGAAGCGCTGCGCTGCAGACAGGTGTCAGGTCAGCTTCCCTCAGCACTGCAGGGTGACTGATGTCATCGGTGGGGAGGTGGGAACACTGGCTCTGAGCAGGACTGGGCTCCAGACCCTACGCCACGGTTGCAAGGGGCAGCAGGTCAACCAGAGCACAGGGGTAAGACGCCTGCCTTTTCTCAGCCCCTCGGTAGCAGGGTCAAATGAGATGACAGGACAGCCCCCTTACTCCCAAGGGCAGAAAGGACCAGAAAACCGAGATCTGGAAAACATTATTCCCTTTGTGAAGACTATCTGTGAGGGCCCCACGGCTGCCCTGGAGCAGCCGTGGACCCCTGAGGGCAGCAGCAGAGGCAGGTGCTCCTGGCCCGCACACTGCTGGGCACTCTCGGCTCATCGCCCTGCAGGCCGTGGTCAGGGAGGGCCGGGCACGCACCTCTGCAGGAGCAGTGATGGGAGGGAGAGCACGGGAAACGGATCCCGGGGAAGCAGCGCCCACCACACCTGCTCTGCTTAGACCTTCCAGCCCAGTTGCTGATGCATCTTCTTCTGGACCAGTGGCTCTCTACCAAGGCTGACTCTGTCCCAAAGGGACACCTGACCAGGTGTGGGGACATCAGCTGCGGGTGGGGTGCGCTTGGGACCTCAGGGATGGTGCCCCCACCACAAAGTGCCCCAAAGTGTCGGCAGCACTGAGGGTGCGAGCCCTGCTCTGGACAAAGGCGGGAGAGCCAGCTTTGCCCTGAGCTCAGCGAGTAGAGACGCTCATCAACTGTGCCAAAGGAACAGGCCTGCTTGAAAAGCCACGAGGCTTCACCTGCTGCTTCCTTCTTTGCTAAGGAGGAAGGCCAGAAATTTCAGGCTCCATGTGTTTGCATTCACACCCCTGCCGGGGCCCTCCATAACTTTGGTGACACATTTTCCCCAGGCAGTCCCCGGGGCAGGGGCCTCAGCACGGCCCAGCTCCTGGCCCCTCCTGCCTGAGATCAAGGGTGGCTATCCTCTCTCCCCAGCGAGTTTATCAGATTTGAGTTTATTTTTAAACCAGCAAGCACTCCAGTCACTCTCATCTTCCATGAGCCAATAGTCCCTTTGTCTCATTTTCTGCCCGATTCTAGAAGGAACAAGAGGCAGTATGACCACCATGGGCCCTCAGGTGGGTCGCGTGCAGGATCAGCATCTTCACCCCGCAGAGGTGCCATCGTGAACACGGGACGTGCTGGGCACAGTGGCAGGCAGCCATCATTACACTGACCCACGGGACCCGAAGCCCCCCCAGACAGGTGTGAAGCCAGCAGGCAAACGTCCTTAGTGTTTCAGAGAGAGAAAACAAGCTGGCTTCTAAACAAAGTCATCTTCCTTTTGGGAATAAATAAGAAGTTCAAAACTATCATGCTAAAAACAGGAGCGACAGTGGACTGCGTCATACCTTGGTGAACTCACTACACAACTGTTCACTTTGTCTTTAGAGACACACCCCTGGAGAATAAGGCCCAGCGAGCTCACACACGCTGAGAAAGTCTGTCTGCAGCCCAGAACTGCAGGGCAGCAGGTCTGGGACACACTGGGAGGCCCAGGTGCACGACCCAGCCATGTAATACTATACATACCTTGCTCCCCGTAAGCTGTGCCAGGTGAGGTTTCAGCTCTTCTCCGATTACGGAATAAATTGCTACTAAGCAAAACACACTGGCCTTGCGCACGCTGCTTTCGGTGTTGTCGTAACCCTGCAGTCAGAGGGACACAGAGAGGAAAGCGAGATCAAAGCTCTGCCCGACTGACGGCAGTGCGTCAATGCTTCCACACTCTCACACTTCAACCTTGGCCTTGCCGGGAGCCGTCTGGATGCCCCTTGGCTCTGCCGATGAACCCCGAGAGCTCTGGCCCCAAAGAGGCCACATGCAATAGTGTCAAGAGTGAGCTGGTTTTGGGGTGGCAGGCAGGAGGCTGGTGAGTTTGTCTCCTCTACAGAGAACGATGCTGTATCGTGAGCTGCCAAAAAACACTGGCAGCACCAGCCAAGACATGTGAGAGAAGAGACTGAGAAAAGGAAATTAAGGGGGAAAGTAAGTGACTTCTTCTCACCATGGTAAAGCAAACCTCACATGTGCAAACCCCTTTAAAGAAATGAGAACTAGGTCGCTCACTCTGTGGATAAAACTCCCCACTGTCTGTGGATCGTCCTGCAATGGGGCAGACCTCCATACCCCTCTCCAGCTGGCCCACAACCTAGCTCCTCCCTCCCCAAACCCAGACGGGACCGTCCGTTTCTCTCCAAGCAGCCTCTGGTACCTTTCGGACTTTCTGCCTTTCCCTCCGCCTGGGATGATCCAGCCCTCGGCTGTGTGTGTTTGCAAGTCCTGAGCCCCGTGCTCAGCAAACAGCAGCGTTTATTAAATGTAAAGCCAATGTCTGTCTACCCTTCTCCACTGAAATTTCTCTCTAGGGCCCAAGTCTAAACCACCTCTTCTCTGAGCCCTTCAACCTAGAGATCAGCCTCCACCCAGATCTCAGAACCACCCACATCCACCCCAGTAACTCAGCACACAGCACCGGCCCTGACCTGCAGCTGTTGGTACAGGAGTACCAAGCCCCAGAGAGGGCTGTCAACTCCTTGAAGCAGGCTCCCAGCAGAAGGCACCGTGCCTTCCAGAGTCTGTTTAACTCAATGCCTCGCGCTTATAAGGGTTTTGGTTACTATTTGTCGGCCAGATTAGGACAAGGGCCATGTTTGATGCTGGGTTCCACAGCTCACCCTGCCCAGGGCTGGGCCCGTCAGCCATGCAGTGAGGAATGAACAACAAAGAAAGATCAAAACATGCTCACAGTAAGCAGAAGGTTCATTCTGTGGGCCCCAGGCCTGGGCTGCCTGGGGGAACTTCCTCTGCGTTCAGGGATGGTGGGCCAGGAGAGGCCACGCCCATGCCGTGCGCTGGGCGGCCAGGCCGCCACGAGGGGCTCACCTGCAGCAGGCCTGGGATGATGTCTGCAAGGAGCTGCAGCAAGGACTCCTTGGCGATCCTCTCGACGACTTTGGTCTGCATCTTGATGGCGGCCAGGTTGATGGGGTAGTCGGCTGTCTGGACGATGGGGCACAGCACTTTGATGCACTGCTCTGGGTGGATGGAACTGGCTAGCGTGGATGCAGCCTCCTCGGCAGCCCTCACCACCTGAAACATGCCCCCAGGTGAGTGAGCTCCACACCACAACACACACTTCAAAGGCCAAGCGACAGGCACGCGGTGCTTAGTGCTGGAACCCCCCCGCCACCACCGCCACCCCTGGCTATGCTTTCACGCCAACAGGGTCAGCCGGAGGAGCAGGGGCAGAGAGGTAACCTTACTCTAAAAGAGTCACATTCTGCACTCCAGCTCATAAGATCCTTAGAAACTTTACAGCCATGGTTAATTTCTTCCTACTATCCTTCCCCAACCTGTGTACATTCGTGTGTTCACGCATTCCTGGGTGGCAGCGGCTGAGCTGAGCACAGGCCTCAGAGGCAAAAGTGGTGCTGGGCAAGGTGGGTGGTCTGCGCGGAGGGGCTGCACGAGGATGCAAAGGTTCAGGAGGTAGCAAGCGAGGCCACAGAAGCAGGTGGGGTCCCCAGGGTGGGGTCTGCTACCTTCCAGTTGGCCAGGAGCAGATGGAAGGAAGTGGGGCAAGCCAGAGCCCTGCCAGCCACTTAAGTGCCCAGGCTGCTCCCTTCACTTTTTCTCACTGCTGCTCACCTATGCTCGTCACTTGGCTGGTAGGATGCACTCACCACACCAGAACCCCCAGGAAGCCCCCAGTGCACCGTGACCACTGCACTTACATGCTTTGATGACACGGTCTCCCCCACGAGACTAAGGGCTCCTTGGGGTCAGTTCCCATCTCAGCCACCTTCTGTCCCCTGTGCCCAACAGTGTCCATTATGCACTAAGAGCTCAATAAATGTTGGTCCAACTCATTTTCCCACAGCATGCATGTGTGTGTGTGTGTGTGTGTGTGTGTGTGTAAATGTTCATGACTGGCAGTCAGCTCCAGGGCGTGCCTTGCTGATCTGCATTTACATGTTCCAACGGAGGAGCTGGCCCAGAAAAGGAGGAGGAAGTCAAGAGATCTCCAGAGCACCAAGTTGGGCTTTGGGGAAATCAAATGTACAAGGCCCAGAAGGTCCATCCTGGGTGACACAATGAAAGGGCAACAGATCTGTCCTTTGGAAAAGAGACTTGTTCAGGTTAGGTTTCGCCAGTGATCGGTTTGTTTGGAGAACAATAGCGTATCGTTAGAAGGGCCCCATCATGCAGCAATCACTAGATGAAGCGCTCTTCTTCTTCCTCAGCTCATGTGTGTCCTGAGGACTGTGGTCCGTCCACGGCATACTTGGGAAAGCCACGTGTTTGGCCGGTGACACACAGCTAGGCAGATCGCGGAAGAGGGGTCCATCCCTTCTCTAATTTGGCCCTGCAGTGGGACACCAATGCCCTTCAACTGTAAGAAATCACTGTGTATAGGTGTCACAAGACGCTGGTCAGAAAACTGAGTAATACTAACTGGTGAAATCTGAGGTCTTAGTTTTTAAACATGGGGGGAGAAAAAAATGAAAGGGTCAGAAAATACTGGGTGATTTCATTGATCGTATCCCAAACTAGAAAACAATGATGTAGAGCAACGTAAGAGACCACCAAGACGGGGAGAGAGCCGGGTGGGCAGGAGGACACAGGACCGGGGGAGGGACCGGGAAGAAGTCCTGGCGGCCGCACTTGAGTCTCGACAGGAGTAAAGCAGAAACCTCCCGGCGCCCCTCAGGGATGCAAAGGGCACCGACCCGACAGGGAGATAAATGGCCAGGTTTCCGGTGAGGCTCCCTCACGAGGGTTTTCTCCTCCCCACCAGCCTCTCCAGGCTTCACTCTCATCCAGGTCACGGGCGTTAAGCTGCAGGGAGCTGCTGGGGAACAGACTAGCTTGGGTATGTGGGGCTGAAACCTGAGCCCAAGGAGAACCTCCTCTGATAAAACTCAGGAATTCTTGAAGTTGCTTGCAGGGAGCATTTAATCAAACATAGGTTTTCTGAAAATGCCTAAAAAGAAAATGCCAGAAGCTGCACTTCAAGGAGGTCCATCTGAGGCCCCCTTCATGGAGGTGGCAGCGAGTTTCCCAAGGCAGACGCTGTTTTTGGCACAGGGGATTGCTGCTCGACTTTCCTCTGCATGCCAGGCTCCTGGCTGCTGGCCGGCTGCCTGACACAGGGTGAACTTTAAGTTTCACCTCTGTGTTCTATGTAACATAAGAAGCAAAGATTATAAATGTAAGCAAGCAGAGAGCAAAGTAAACACGGGTGACAGAGAGGAGGAGGAGAGTGCTCTTTGGCAGACACGGGGGCCAGAGGGGCAAAGGAGTTCTCAGAGATGGTGAAGGCGATGAGAGAGAGCGGGGTCAGGCAGACTTCTGGGTCATTACCAACCCCAAGTGACCAAAACAGTTCCAGTTCTGCTGATTTTTCTGCAGTCTGGTAGAAACACAGGAATTCTTCTTTTTCAAAGTCACTGAATTAACAGTGTCTAGCTCGGAAAAGCATAATTTCCTTATCTAACTTTTTAAAAAATGAGATCATTACTCAGAATATTGATGAATGTTTGCTTAAAGATAAGGTTTCTTTGAGAGCACAGAACTGTCCCAGTTTGAAGTGCGTGCTTTAGGTTCACAAAGACTGGCTGTGCTCTGCCACAGGCACGGCAGCGCTGCTGGCCGACTACCACGAACAAGCAAGCAGCTGTTCAGAAGTGACGACAAGCAGGTACACCCAGTTAGTGGCAGCAGTTCAGTCACTAAGCCGGATCTGACCCTTGCGACCCCCGTGGACAGAGGAGCCTGCCAGGGCTTCTCCAGGCAAGGATGCTGGAGTGCGTTGCCATTTCCTTCTCCAAGGTACACCTAGTTCAGCCCCAGGCATATAAAAGCTAAGGGAGACGCTGGCGCCACCTTCTGGGGAAAGCCGGGAAGACCTCACAAAACAGGCAGGATGATGGGGTTGTGTGCCCACCATGGTGGGGAGGCCGTCTCTCTGGTGAGATGGTCACCACCAGGGACCTGAACCCAGCATGCAGGTCCCCGTCTGTCAGGCCTGGCCCCAGAGGGAGGGCGGGAAGGAAAAGGCTTCAGGGTCCAAGGTTCGGGACCTAGCTCTGTGGCCAATGAGGTGAAGCTGAGGGATGCTTCTCGTACTGTCTGCGCCTGCTTCCCTCGTAAGTAAAATGAAGGGGGTGGGGCGCTGAATCTAGTACGCCGACAGCAGTTTGGATGGCGACACTTTATCTCCCTACCCTACCTAGACAGTACTTTCTCTTGAAAACGCACATGCACGATTTCAAAAGGCAGAGTCTACATCAAACAGTCTCTAACCATGCAGCCATCACACTCTCCCCTCCAGGGGCAGATTGAGCGCAACACCATCTCAAGCGTGGTAAGGCTCTGAGGTGGAGACGCACTCTGTCCCACCTCAAGCGGGGCAATCACAGCCAACAGGGAACCACGCTGTGGAGTCAGAGGGGCCGGACACCCAGGAGGTGGCCGTGTCTGCGGCCCCGGAGGATGCCAGGCGCGCTGGGCTGACTGGTCCCTAGAGGAGTCAAGGGGGCGGAAGACGGGCAGCACAGAGAAGGCTCCTCTGCATCTCCCCAAACCCGTCAACTCCTGGTATTTCCTGGCCTCAAATGCAGGAGTATGATGGCCACTCCAGTGTGGACACCGAGTCAACCAATGTGGGAGCCCAGCTGGGAGCCCAACACACACAGCCCACAGTTAATTCACCCAAATTTCAATAGCCTTCCGACATGTATTTCAAGAAATGCAGTGATTTCTGGTTTACATAAAACAGGAAAACCCCAACCACAATTCTTTCAGAACCGGTCTACCTACTTCAGTGGAAGAGGATTAAAAGGACCATGTCTGCAGTTTTCGACAGCCTTAGCCTCCTCATTCCCTCGACATGAACGTCAGCCCTACGAGGGGCAGGCGTCCCGCGGCCCCAGTTCACCTCGAGTGCCGGCACTTCCGACGCTCAGGAGGCTGAGACCCATCCCCAGCTACTCAACTAACCAACTGGTCAACGCAGGATGAGGACAAGTCTCCAGACTCCAAAGCTCTGATGTTAAACAGATCTTTCATCACCATCCTTCAACCTTTATTTGCCCTACACCAAACCACTTGACTGCTTTCTCCAGACAAGTTCTCTCTCTTGGCAAGACACCCTTTCTGAGGCTATGGAAGTAAAGGCAGGTGTCATATCTGGCTCCTAGGGGGTAGATCACCAGAGAGGAAGGGCCGTGTCTCCTTGCCCTGAGTAACTGTGGGGCAACGGCTGCTGTCTCTCGGGGCTGGAGCCTGTGCCTGGCATGTCGCGGCCACGCCTGGGGCCATGGTGGTGCAGCAGACCCGGCCCGGACACGTCCCCCCGGCCCACGGCCTGCACTAGGCCCGCTGCCTGACTCATGTCGTCAGCGCCCTCCCAGTGCACCCCAAACTCCCAGAGCGCTTCCCTCTGGACCCCTCCGCTCTAACCTGAACTAAACCGTAAGCTCCCCGAAGTCTAAAACACTCCCCAAACCCCCTCCCCTGTGCCTCCAATCATAAAACATTCACCAGAGTTTGCGCTATGAGCGTCAAACTGGCTCAGCAACTTTGACCCTTTAAACGACTATATAGGTTTCTGGTTTTGTCTTTTTGTTACAAGGCTAAAAGTTACAAAGGAAATAGGGCTTCTGGCCACATGCCAAGACTGGGTCCAAAGAAAACTGGAGATTTGGAATCTAGGAAGGTTTAGGCTTGTTATTCAATAGCAGCCTCTAGTATCTTGAGGCCAGATGACACGCAGATAACCGTGCAGCCCACTCCCTGGGCTAACAGATTAGGGAAACCAAGGTCCAGAGAAGTGAAGTAATCTCTCCATACTCACACAATGCACTGTTCGCCAGAACCCGCTGACACATGTCCGCTACCCCAAGAAGCTTCTAAGGGCCATTCCAGAGCCAAGGATTTGGTGAAGCCTTGGGTAGAATGATTTTGACTGGGATTTGAAGCAGAATATCAGATCATCACTAAAGCGCTTTCTCTCTGACACACCACTGCTTTGCACAGGCCATGCTATTTGCCAAGAGGTCCTGAAAAGTTCCATTTTAAAAATATAGTCTGGTTTAGCTTTTTTAATTCTCTGCGATCTTAAAACATTAAATTAACTAGAAATGATTTCAAAATAAATCCCCAGGGAGACATAACAGTGGTTGTTTTATATTTATTTAAGAATCAAACTTCCCCAAACAAGCCAAACCACCTGAGGCTGGATTCTGATGCCTTAAGCACCAAGACTTCTGTGGGGCAAACAAGGTCTGGTGACCCCACAGAGTGATACAGAATGAAGCTGATATTTCTCTCTTTTAACAGGCAAATGTAATTGAATATTCACTACGTGGCCGAGGTCGGTGAAAGCAAAGCCTAATAGTCAAAGTATACTGTGTTGGCAAATGTTATGGCCCAATAGAATATCTTCAAAGAAAGAGAGCTGATGCTTCTCTAAAGTTCAAACAGAACTCTGACAGAGGACCCCAACACTCTGGCTACTGCATGTAAGCCACGGAGTCTGGGAGCAACAGCTATTCTTACATTAAATGTGTATAAAGTGATTAACAACTAGTACACCAGCTGTCTGCCTCTCAGACGATACAGACGTCTGAAGACGGCTTTAGGAAGCAAAGTTGTACCGCGTCTGACAGTGTCAAGACACGAGCCTTCACGTCCCGTATCTGATTCTGCGGCGTGTTCGGCAGCCACACTACACAGTGGGAATCAGGCAGACAGCATGGATAGAGGCCAGATGCTGCATGGAAAACTCAGCTTTCCATCTCTATATTCGTGCTCCCACTGACCCCAGAAACGCATTCATAGTATCAATGCTCATATCAGATCTAAATCCTCTCTTAATCATTGATGGACAGATTCGGTACCAGCCCTAAGAGACGGATTACAAGTTCTAAGATAAGAAGCACTGAAGTTAATGGAGTTTTTTTTGAAAAACAGAAAGTGGGCATAGGATCTTAAAAGGTCGCTATCAAGGCCTTCACCCGTTAAGGTGTTTGCTAAAAAGCGAACACCACTGCAAACCACAGTAACTTCATTAACAAGCTATTGAACGCAACAGCAAATTTACTAAAAAGATAAAAACACAGAGTTAGATAATTTAAGAAATCTATGTATTCAGGTAGGGAATATGAAAACATACTTAACCTAACAAACACCCACTTTTTAAACAAAAACTCTAAATTGGTCCCCAATTCCTCTATCGTGCTTATTGTAAAATGTCTATGTTAGCTTAGGATGAGTCAGGATGAGACAGATTTAGCGCCTGGTATGTTTCAGTGTGATAGTGTTTTGCACACACAGCTCCTCTTGCTAAAGACCCTCAGAACACCGCCCTCAGCTTATCGGGGAAAAAAGACAATTTAGCAGCCCTGCCTTAAGCATCTTCCCTAAAGCCTTTATGACATGTTTCAGCCTATTAGAAACCGTATTTCAAGAAGGCCTTCATGCTACAGCCCCACAGCTAGATCTAGTATGCATCATGCCAGGGCCCTGCCACAGCAGCTCCTCATCAACCCGCCAGTCCATCTCCTTCATCTCCTGTGAACACAAAACTAGCCTCTTACGGAGGAGGTTCCAGGAGCTACGGCCCAGGATGAGCACACTTTGGAAGTGCCAATTGGACAGGAAGAGACTTGGGCTCTGTCTGACTAGTAACTGGGTCTAGAAACACCTTGGATCCTTTCCAATAAATATGGGAATGATGTTTGAATAAACGTTTGAATGTACTGGTGAAAAAATATAATAACTAGAGAAATACTGTGTGTGATGTTAATTTCATATGCCAACAGAAACACACAAGGTGCCCAAGTTAGGAGTTTCTGGCAAAGTGACAGCGTGGAGTTTCATAAGGGAAAGGACACAGGCAGCAAGTCAAGGTGAGTCTGCAGGTATGCAAAGCAGGGAGGCCTGCCAGCAACGGCACTCCTCTCAGGACACAATGTTTCCTCTACCTGCCTTATCAGGAAATCAGTGACAGCTGCGTGGAGACCCTGGGTCACAAGAATTCCACACAACCAAGTGCTGCTAAATTTGCTTCAGGCAGCAGGTATTTTCTGCTTGTGTCCCTCAGGCAATCTAAAAGACTTCACAGCTGAGAACCTTCTCTTCTCTACCTTTTGTCTTGCAGGGGAAAAAAACCAGAACCCCTCACGTAACCAGCAATATATGCCTGTCAGGGTCCACTGTCCAGGTTCTGAAGGTTAACATCAGGACAGCCACTGTGAAGACAGACATCTCCCAAGGGGATGGCCAGTGGCTGTCACACAGGGCTTCACCTTAATGCCACATTCTCAGTTATGTCCTCCCCTCTGAAAACAACTGATATCATATGCATGTAAGAGATCACCCATTTTATTTTTTTTTTGATCATGTATTCTCATTAAGGAGAGGCCATTATGGTTTACAACAAAAGTCAGCATGGGCCTGTTTGCCTCTTAAAAGACACAAGACCTAGCTTGCATCTTGGTTCTGCCAAAAGCTGCCACGCGTGCATCATCTGCCCAAGGATGGGAACTCCTGGACCCTCTTCCTCACCTGGGAACAATGATGTTGACCACTGTCAGCTTCTCTAGTCCTTGACAATTATGTTGACTGCCATCAGCTAATCTGGTCTTTACACTGTTTCAAAAGAGTTATTTTAAGTGCAAAGTGTTTTGTTCAAATGTGAGTGATGATGATCACCATCAGGCCACTGAACCAGACTTCAGAAGTGTACGTTTGTGGTTTGCACACACACCTGTCACTTATACCCCTGTGTTTTGCTAGGACTGCTGGGTGGAGACATGCCTGGACAGAGCAGCGGCCTCAGCCTCACTGAGCCTGCAGTCATGCAGGAATGTGAGGGGGCCAGTCACGTAACTGCTGAACAGAAAAAACTCCACGATTTAGGGTCTGAGTCTTGCTGTGAATATAAGAACTGTTCTAACCACAATTCCTTTAATCCATGACTGTGCTCACGAGAATCACACAGGAGCCAAGACTGAACTGACCACGTGATTATATCTCACTTAGGAGTCAAACCCATTGTGTCACATCAAGTTTCCTAAACCTTTAAATAAACGGTTGCTGTCCACAGTGAACTTTACTAGAAGGGTGGCACTGAAATAATTTTCATTTAGGACAGCTCCACTCACCTCCCTACTCTCTGGCGGCCTCTCGATACTCCAAGGACTGGGAATAACAGGTACCGGGACAGTTCAACAAGTGACTGGACAATGCATGGACTGTCCACCATCTACACACAAGTCCAAGCCCAGAAACGCGTGTTCTGGGACAGGCCTGAGGAGCGGGAACCCCAGCAGTGTGAGTTTCTCACGACCAGGAGCTGGTGGAGCAGGCGGCGCTGCCATCAGGCCCAGAGCCCCCAGAGAGGAGCAGGCTGCCAGGGAGGGAGAGAGCCGTACGTGCCCGTCTCACCTAACGCCCCTGAGGGCAACATGCGACGACAGCCGCCGAGGGCAGCAGGGCTCCGAGGAGAGAGGCTGGCCGTGCGTCCACCCCTGGTCCTGACTGCAGGGGCAGGGCCGGCCGTGGGCACCTGCGGGGGCACGGGCTCTGCGCCGCTGCTCAGACACCAAGACAGACGTGGGGGTGGGTGTGCACCCGGACCCGGCTCACCTCCTTGTGGGAGTCTTTGTGGGCCTCCAGGGTCTTCATGATCGTCAGCTCCGCGTAGTTTTTAAACCTCGCTGGCTGGTTTCTCAGGATTTCCCGCAACACTCTGAGAGCCAGTGCTCGGATGGAATGCTGGGGCGAGAGGAAAGAAAACATAAGCGAACGGCTCTGGTGCCCCCCTGCGCACACGGTCAGCAGGGCCCGACACCAGGTCCCAGGCCTGGGCCTTCTTGGCACCTGCAGGCACCGGGATACGAATGCCAGGCTGAGTGGACACAGGCTCCCCAGACAGCCAGCTCCACGAGGGCAGGCGCTGTGCCCACAGGCACACCCTGGGACCCGGGGCCTATGAGGGACCCTGGACGGCTTCCCGAATGAGCCAAGCTAGGCCCGCATGAGGGTGATTAAGTTCATATCAACCTCCTGGGGGACTTCAGGTTTTCTGAAGGGTAGGTACACATCTGTAAAACACACAAAAGAACAGATGAGGAGGACCTACACATCTCATCAACCCGCCCTGGCAGACAGTGGCTTTCCTACCAGGACGGCGGAGATCTGCTGATACTCCTGACCTTCGAGGTGAGCAGGTCATGGGGGAGGGGAGCCTGTGCAGAGCTGCTTAAAGCGCGAGTCATGCGTCTGGAGGAAAGCCATTCCAAACAGACGCCTAATCTCAACAAAAGAGGATGGAGTTTACACCAAATAGAGCCAAACGGTACATCCTGATTCTCTGTCACTCACCTGCACAGCCCACACGCTCACACACCATCCCCTGCACTTTCCATGACATCGCTGCTGTCCTGACAGAGCCCGACCAGTACAAGGACTCCAGGAGCCAATACGTACTTTGTTTTAAGAAAAACGAAGACAGATCTTTCATCACTGTCCTTCCACCTTTATTCGCCCTATGCCAGGCCAAACCACTCAATCTAAGCAGCAGAGAGCCAGTGGGGTCACCATGATGTTCACCAGCCTCTGCTTACCTGTCTCCACTTAAAGTCGCCATCAGCGTGACCCTGGCGTGACCTCGACCCTCGGCTGTAGCCAACTGCCTCGAAACCTGTCTGGTCCTGTCCTTGGGTCGCTCACCACGCTTCCTGCACTTGTGTGTCTGCTGGCCTACTGGAGCCCAGAGCACAGAGATGGATTCTTACTTCTAGAGGTGAATCAGGAAAGTCTCAACACACCTTCCTGCTGCCACCCAACAGCAGCCACACATGGCGGGGGGGCGGCCTCTGATCAGGGCGCTCACCCCGGGAAGGGTCATCTAAGAGGTGCCCTGTGCAGAGGACGAACCAGGCCGGGTGCAAAAGCCCAGCTCGTCATGTTCAAACGTCACAGTGTGGAGAAGGCTTTCTATTTTAAGAATAACAATGGAGGATGACAGAAAACAGTTATAATCTCTGCTTTTGGAATCTGTTGCTGGAACCACTAACACATGCAATGGCGAACCAAGAGGGAGCCCCAGGGAAGGCTGAATTTAGTGGGTCTTCCAAAAACAAAGGTCTCATTTCTCAACTGCACAGGAAACATAAGGAAAACTCTTGAGAAGAGAAGCCCATTATTAAAAAAAAAAAACTTCACATTCTACATTAACAAAGTCCTAAGACATTTTGTGAAAGTGACCTCAAGCAGGAACAAGTTTCCCTCAACGACTACAGAGCCTATTACAGAAAACCCTGCATTGAAGCCAGGACGGGGTTTCTCTCCAGTAAGAACAGCACCTTACTAACTGAGGCTCAGAAAACTTGAGAACTGTCTGGGTGTCACCAGGAGCACAGCACAGAAAGGAGGGCAGCCGGGGCCCGGGGACGGAGGGGGGCAGAGAGAGGAGGGCAGCCGGGGCCCGGGAAGGAGGGCGGCAGAGAGAGCAGGGCAGCCGGGGCCCCAGGACACCGGGACAGACGGGAAGGCGGGCAGCTCACATCCTTGTCCCCGAGGGTCTCGAGCAGCAGCAGCAGGATGGTCTTGAAGTGCTCCTCCCAGACGCCCAGGCTGTCCTCGCGCGTGATCTTGAGCAGTTCCAGCAGCGCGCCCTTCCGCTCCTCCACGCGCTCGTTGTGGTTGGACAGCTCCTTCAGGAGGTCTGCCACCAGGTCCGAGTGGTCAATGGGCACTTGGGGACACAAGGCAGACGCTCAGCCCTGTTGACAGGACCCCGCCCGGCTCCCCAGCCTCCGGGAGGTCCCCACGGGCCGCCCACACCCTGCCCTTGGCACTGGCCTCACTCCACACCCTCGGCAGGTACCCTCACCAGCTCAGTGGTTAAAACAGATGTGAAAAGGGGCAGCGCCCCCACTCGGCCCACTTCAGACAAACAAGAACCCCAAAGCCCCTCCCGGGCCGCCCTCCCAGCTCCACTGCCTGCACCGGCCTCAGCCAGGCCTCTTAGGGGCACCCTCGCGGCTCTCGGACCCCACGCGCACGGTTCCCCCACCACCACACCTGAGCCGTCAATGTTCGTCCCCCGCTCCAGCGCCCACAGCGTCCAGGCGGCCCACGGGCCACCTATCACAGACCGAAGGCCTGCCGACATCATGCGGTGTCATGCCCGTGGGGGCCTGACCACGGTCTGTGCAGCAGAGAGACGTATCCTCTCTCTTTACGCGTCCTTGTAAGAGCCCTCAATCCTCTTACATACTGACTTTAAACAGAATGATGAAACCCAAAGACAAACCATTAGAAGCCTAAATGTGCACTCCTCTCAAGCTTCTAACCTGCTCAGACTGAGGAACAAACACTAAGGAAGCTGGCATCTGAAAGACCCCTCGCGTCTCCCCGCTAGCCCACCGTGTCCTCTCAGCCTTTCAGCATACAGTTGGTGGATAAACTATAGCTGACATCCTCGCCTCGTCTGTCTTAAATAAGACCGACAACTGGGTGAGTTAAACACTGTATCAATCCTATGAATAAAGAAGGGAAACGGCCCAGGACTCCCAGAAAGTGCAAACCCAAATAAGGCCTCCACTGCTAGCCTCCCGCCCAGCAGACGGCTGGGTAGGCTGAGCTGCTCCCACCAGCAAGCAGCAATCCACAAGCAGGTGGCCACGCTCGCCCGTCCCTGCAGCTGCCTGTGCTTTTGGACAGGGCTCCCTGTGCTTTTGGTCACTGCTCGGCACACAGACAGCGCCGCTTTCTTCCTTTCCTGCGCCCCTCCACGCCAACTCAGCCTCCACTGGTGACACGGCCCTCTCCTCCACACCTGCCACCACCATGAGTCTGCCTCCCCTGAAGGGAAAGGGGAAAGAGGCCTTAAGCTCTGGGACCAGGGGCTGAGACTCATTTCTGTGTCCCTGGCAAGCCACACCCTTCTTGACACACAGTAGGCCTTTGCTGAATGCTAACTATTTAGAATTCTGATTTAAGGATCTAACTAAAGTCTTCATTCAAAATTGAAAAACAACATAAAATAAGAGGCTTGGAAACAAAGTATAGATATATAAAAAATTTAAAAACTAATTAAAATTAACTTAAACATATGAACATGACAGTGAGGTGAAAAAAGGAAAAACTAGGTTCCAAGTAAAATGACTATCCTACCAACACACACTCACCCATTACTCAATAACGGACACTGGTCTTAACACAAGAGTCAGAAAAACACCCAGAGCAGTTTTGTTCTGTGTGTTATGCTCTACTTGGGGCGAGGAACTCCACCTTTCTGAACCTCAGGTTCCTACTTGGCACAATGGGGAGGATCCCTCTATCTCAGCAGCCAGCACATAGCCAGCAGGTGCCCAGGGCACATTAGACCCCTTCCCCAACCACAGGACCAGTACCATGAGAGACCAGCAGGCGGTCTCCTTGCAGGGCTCCAGGACGCCTGGCCACAGCCCAGGATGGGGACGCGCCCCCCAGAAGCCAAACAGTCGGTCTCCCCGTTGCCTAGCCCGCGCTCATCACCACCAGCTGGAGGCCTGACTCTTCACAAAGCCTTCCCCGCAGGCCCTCCGTGTGCCCCCTGCTCCCGGGCACACGACGGGACCTCAGACGAGCAGAGCGAGGCAGGCCTCTGCCCCATCTCACACGCCCTGTGCGCCCGGGGCTGCCCGGCCGGGGCACGGAGCCGGGCCAGACTCACCATCTCGCAGCTGCTCCATGTCGTCGTCAAACACGGCCTCCTTCAGGGCGGTCTTGTCATAGGCGCTGATGGTGTCCGAGTAGGGGTAGGGGCTGTAGTCCCGCGCCCGCGGCCCCGGGAAGGCGCGAGGGGGCTGCGTGTTGAGGAGGGAGGTCTTGTTGTCCAGAGCCGTCCGGCCTCCTTCCACCACCTCGCTGCCGCCCCGGCCCTCGGGCGCAGGGGAGGCGATGCCACCATCACGGGACACCTGGGGCAAAGCACACTGTCAGTTCCTCCGTCCTTAAATCTTCACGAGTATTAGCAGAGCCAGAGATTTCTCACTTGAAATCTGGCTGCTGATACAAGTACAGTTGTTAGTGTTTCCATTTGTAAGTATCTAACTCCTAAGTGGCCTCAAAAGAGACAGAACATACTTAGGTTCTCATCTAACCATTCCTTAGTTCACACAGAGTGTCTGTTTTCCTTGGTACTGGATGACTAATTGGACAAATATTTTTGAGATTAGCGCCATGAACTTCTGAGGAGCCCCTGGAGAAGGCAAGCTATATACCGGAACCCCCAGTTCTCCAGGAACCTCAGATGCCAACGCCCCAGCGGGACACTTTTACCACCAACAGGAAGGGTTTTCTCTCACTGACACCTTGCCACACCACCACGGATGGACGCTCCTCTGATGACCCTCTGGAGATCTACAGTGGCCCTAAAACGCAGGTCCACGCGCCTGGTGTACAGTGAGGCCAAACACCACCAAAATGCTAGGGTCTGGAGCAGAGGAAGGTTTACCAAGCAAGGAGACGGGTGGCTCCTGCCTTAACCCCCGAAACTCCCCAAAGCTTTCAGCAAACCTCTTTTCTAGGAAAGATGAGGGAGGGCGTGTGGTTAGTTATTGCAAACTTGTTGGGGTCAAATCCTTTGTTTTTGAGATCAAGTCATGTAGTGACATTCCTGTAAATCTCCACCAAGTGAATGCTATTGGTTTGTTTTTTAATTTAATATTTATTTATTTGGCTGTATCAGGTCCTAGTTGTGGCATGCAAGATCTTTAGCTGAAGCATTCTAACTCTTAGTTCCCTGACCAGGGATAGAATCTGGGCCCCCCCTACATTGAGAGTGCAGTCTTAGCCACTGGACCATCAGGGAAGTCCCTATTCTCTGTTCTGACAAGAAAGGGTGAGGTCCCAAGGCACAGCCTCCACCCCCTGAGGTCCAGGTCCTGCCGAGAGGAGGCAGAACTCAGCCAGCGGCTCCCTCGGGGCCAGGCCCTCAGACTGTGTCCAGCTGACGTCACTGAGGGAGCCCAGGATCCAACTGGCCCTCCAGCCCCTCAGGGCCCCCAGATGGTGGGGCCCAGGTTCTGCAGACTGCGTCCTACACAGACACCCATCGCCACTAGCTCACAGAGGTGGGGACGGGGAGAGGTTCATGGCTGCCTCAAGCCAGTGGGTGGCCTTGACGAGGGCTCTGGAGCCCTCAAGGACACAACCCCCAGCATGTCCCCTGGGTGCCCCCACTCCCTAGCTCGCCTCACGGCCGGGTGAGCTGGAGGGCCCCGGAGAGGGAAGGCCAGAATCCACTCTTCACCTGCCCATCACCATCCCAGTGACCGCTGGCTGAATGGGCCACCGAAGGTCACTGACCTTCAGGTCCTTGCCTGGGGGAGGCGCCTACTGCAGCACTGACCAGTGGCTGAGCAGCCGCCAGGGGCCTCGCAGTGACTGCTGCCGGTAACGGGGTGCAGGGAACAGGGCATAGCAGACGGCCATGGGCTAGGGGCTGCGCACGACCCCACTCCTACTACAGTCCACCACCCGCGAGCCCCCAGCTGTATCGCCACAGGGGTGAGATCTCGACCTGCAGAGAACTCGGCCTCCCCCAGGCAGATGGCTGCTCCCTCATGTGCTTCTGACCCTCAGAGCTGGTCTTTACGCTGGTCAAAGAACGGGTCTGTAATATGTTCTGAAAATGCTTTCCTAATATATTCTGAGTTTTGTCTGAAAACTAATAAACCTCTGGTCCCCTGGCCCCCGTGTCACGTTTCTGACCGCCTCCGTTCCCGGGGGTCCTCTCTTCCGAGTCCGCTGGCCTGTCTGGCACCCTGTGCGGGTCAGCAGAGAAGGGGTGGCTAACTGCAGCGGAGAGGGCAAAGCGGTCCCTCTCCTCAGGTCAGACGCGTGAATACAGAACAGTGGAGCAAACATTCCCAGGCGGCCAAACCGCACTGGTGATTCCTGGGGCAAAATTTTTATTTGTGCTTGTCGACAAGATACATCTCTCTCATTTTATGCCTATGCATGTATGGCTTTTTTTAAATTGTAGTAAAAAAACACAAGAACTGTGTGTGTATGTATATATGACATATATGTCAATCACTTAAATCAGTTAATTCATAAGTGTCTAACTCAGTGACATTAAATACATTCACAATGGTGTGTAAGCATTACCACTATGTCATGTTTGGGCAAACCTTTTTCATCTTGCCCAACCGAAACTCTGTGCCCATTAAGTAATAACTCCCTGGCCCTTCCAGCCCTGTCGTCCCTGTTGTACTTTCTGCCTCTATGAACCTGACTACTCTAGGCACCTCATGTAAGTGGGATCACAGAGTATTTGTCTTTCTCTATCTAGCTTATTTCACTTAGCGTGATGTTTTCAAGGTCCATTCATGTTCTAACACATACATAGTATTACTTTCCTTTTTATGGCTGAACAGTACTCCACTGCATGTACATATTCCATTTTGCTTATCCATTTATTTGTTGATGGATACTTGGATGGCTTCCACCTTTGTGCTACTATGACTAACGTCACTCTGAACACTGGTGCACAAACATCTGTTCAAGTTCTTGCTTTCAATTCCTTTAGATATACACCTGGTAGAACCAATGCTGGGATGCACTGGTTCTTACACACCCTGCCCAAAAGATCTTGTCCTAACAATTAAGATAAAAAAGAATTTATAAATATATGCATAGAAGACTGAACAGGAGTTTTCTCTTGGTATAAGATGTTTCGTAGATTATTTTTTTTTTTTAATTATTTTATTTTGGCTGTGCCAGATCTTAGTTGTGGCATGCGGGGTCTCATTCCCCGACCAGGGACTGAGCCCTGGCCCCCTGCATTGGCAGCACAGAGTCTTAGCCACTGTTCCACCAGAGAGGTCCCAGATGATTTTTTTTCTCTTTGTAACTCTCTTCTAAAAGTAACACATACATTATTAATATAATGAAAAAATTATTTATAAAAGAGTTTTTAAAACTTCAGACATTAAAAAAAGAAAGTGAAACTCCTAATACTAATCACATTTAACAACAAAATCTACCTTTCTTAACTTGGTACATTATATCAATTTGATACCCTTTTGGCTGGCATGTCCTTCCTGAAAGTTCCCCTCAGAGCCCATGATGCCACACTCCCCTCCGCTCATCTTTGGTCCTTCTTGACTTCCTTCCTTCTGTCTTTCCCTTAGTGCTGATGCTCCTTAGGATTTTGTCCTTGCCTCCACTTGGCTGATTTCACTTGCTTTTCTTTAGTTACCATCAGGCAACTAGTCAGTATCTCTCAAACCTCCACCACCAGCCCAAAGCACCAGCCTCAATGCCAGACTGGTGTGTCTGAAAGCCTAATGGCTGTTTGCGTCAACGTTTCATCATGTTCCAAAGGGGTTCTTGTATGCCTTTCCCTGGCCCCCACTGTCTCACCGAGTTGGAACAGCGCCTCCTCAGCAGTCCTTGCCAGACACTCTGGCTCCTCTCTTTCTGCTCATGCGCTACCCAACTCAACTTCCCCTGGAGTCACGCTCCACCTCAGGGTGTCAGCAGTCCTTCTCAGAGGTATGTGTGACCACGCCGCTTCCCTGGTTAAAAACCCTTCAGAGTCTTCAGTCAGCTCCAGAGAAGCCAGCTCCTGCCCCCCAGGCCGGGGCAAGCCCACCATGCCCACCGCCGCCACCCCCGGGGACATCCTCCTGAGTCCACCCCCATCCTTCTGCCTCCTCACAGACCTCTCTAGGACTATGACCTCCTCCTTGGCCTGACAAGCACCTCGCAACCTCCCTGCTCAGAAGGTGACATCATCTCCTCTGCAGATGCATCCCGAGCACCCAGACTGGCCCTGATCGCTCCTCCCCCCAGCACAGTCTCCTCCACTCTGCCTGCCTCTACGGGAGATGGCAGCGCCTGGAGCGCCACACTGGCGTCGGGCACAGGCTCACCGTTTGTATCACATCAGAGGAATATACACATGCCCAGGACAATGGAAGGCAGCTGAGGAAAAGGGCAGTTAACATTCTTCAGAAAGATAGCTGAGGGCTACTGCAATTTCACAAAGCTGCCCTGGGCCTCTTAAAATCATACCATTCTAACTGTGAGATAAAAACGATGTTGGGGTTCAGCAACCCCAGTGCTCAGTGTTCAGGAGTATCCCTGGATGGACACAGAGGTCCCTACCACTCTGGGTGGCGACTACACACAGCCCTCCCTCCGTCAGCCTGCGGATACTCACAATATCGCAGTCCTTTCTGCCGTCTCTTTTAATGGGCTCATTCAGATCCTCTTGGCTTCGAAAACTAAACTTCTCAATGGCTTCGGTCACTCCACGCAAAGAGCTATAGATTTCTTCAGAGTTCAGGTTTTCTGTATCATAGTCCAGCATGCTAAAGATCAAAAACATTTTATTTCTTAAATTGAGGCACACGCGTAAAATTGGAGTATGGGTAAAAATTACTTCTAATAATTTACAGAATAAGATGTAATTATAGTTTCTTTAGGTGATTTGGAATGATAAGAAGACATCTTTTGTTAGAGCACCACCACCAGACAACTTAATTACACATCTTCCTCGTCAGATCTGGCCCCAGACACACGACATGAGCACTTAGTAAGAGCCAGTGCAGTGGGAAAACAGCAAACCATGAGAAAGCAAGAACTCAGAGAGTGACAACCAGTGATGATGCACGAGGAAATGGATGTGGAAAAATAACTTTCATACCTTGAAGATGGAAAAAAGTAGTTTGGTTGTTACTGGTCTCAAATGTACAAATAAATGAAAAGAAAGCTAGTGTTACAGACAAATTTTAAAGGAGGGAAGCACATGACCGTATAAGCCTGGATTTTGCTTACCAGTATCTGAAACCTGTAAAAATGAAACCCCAGAGTACAGAATGACTCAAAGTCAGATCCACCATTGCGCTCCGGACACCCTGCCATCTAACCCAGGAATTTGCTTGCACAACCAGACTCTTCTAGATGCAGACACTGGGAGTTTTACAGCAAAGCAGATCTTACAAAGATGAGTCACACATCCAGATGAACATCTAAAAGCACTTCAAAAAGCAAGAAATATCTGTCCCGTACAGAAAAGTGACATCAGCTGTTGTCCAGTGAGACATCTAGCAAAACACAGACTAAGGCAAAAATGCCCCTGGTATAATGCAGTGTACAACAGAGTGCTCTTTAGATGTTTGCAAAGTACACTGAGATAGATGAAAGATCCTAAGAACAAAACCATCACCTTCCCTCCCTGAGAATAACTGAGGGGAGCCAAGCTGAAAAACTGCTACCTTAAACATCACTTGTCCCGAGAAAGTATTCAAGAAAAGATCAGATGAGTTGGTCTAATTTAATTTGCAGAAAGTCTTGAGTTATAACTGAGAATTGCCAGAGACGTTAAAAGAATCCTTGAAAGTGAAAGTCGTTCAGTTGTGTCCAACTCTTTGCGACCCCATGGACTATGTCCATGGAATTCTCCAGGCCAGAATATCAGAGTGGGTAGCCTTTCCCTTCTCCAGGGGATCCTTCCCAAGCCAGGGATTGAACCCAGGTCTCCCGCATTGCAGGCGCATTCTTTACCAGCTGAGCCACAAGGAAAGGCCAAAGAGAAGCCTTGGCCATATGTAAGTAAGCATTCAACGGCATTCATTACTAAGGACTAAAGAACAGTCTCTCTGTTCTTCAGAAGAGAAATAACTGAAACCAGTCATCCACTGGCGGGAACCACTCCTCCCCCAAGAGCAATACAGCCAGACTTGTACATTCTGTTAGGAGGAAAGTTTCCTGTAACTTAAACACCAGTCATGTTACCAACCTTCCCCTCACACACACTTTTTTGTTGCTGCTGCTGTCCAAGGTTTGGGCAGATAAGCAACACTTGGACGGTTCTCACGTGAATTAGCCAGACCTTTACTGGCTGGAAGTTGTAATGACCCGAGTGGTTTCTAAGACTGGATGGGTCCTGCGAGAGGACGAGATCTGAATTCACTCTCTGAGATGAATTTACTGTCTTTGCAACCTTCTGGCCCAGGGAGAACGTATCCTTTTTTTCTGATGAATGAAAGAAAACACCCTAATTGCACTTGGAGAGGTCACAAAAACACATGCCAACTCAAAGACTGGCTCTGGCATCAAACAAAAAGCAATGTGAACTTCAACACGTTTAAAGTTAAGACTCCATGTACACACTGACAGGAGGTGGAATCAAAAACTTGAACAGAATTGAAGATTTCAACCCCTTCTAGTTCATAAGGTTATCTAAGGCAATGTCGCTTTAATGGGAAGGGAGTATGATTATAGACCACGGGCCTCCCTGACACCATCCACCCCTCCACAAACACCACAACACTAGCTTATGTATGAGCAAAGGCATTTATACATCCGACCAGTACTCTGTTTTATAAATAAAGACAGAATATGACTTAAAACAAAAAAATATGTGTATAAGATGTCAAAAGATGCCTTAAAATACTTTTAACAACAACAATCAAAAAGAATAACACAGCCCATGCAAAAGGAAAAAACATGGGAAGAATGCAGGGATGGACAGGAGGAAGTCTGGGAAACGTTCAGCTTTTAAGGGATGTCACAATATTATTCTCCATGTCGCTTCAGAAGATGTTGGCTTTCACGTAGTTCACCCCATTATTTTTAACTTGAACTTCCTTAAAAGTAATTCATTTCAGTCATATAACTTAAGCATGATAGTAGCCTCTTTTTTAAATATGAAAATAAAGGGTTCTGCCAGTTAATGGTCCTCATTCTTACTTTCAATTAATAAACCAACTCAGACTTCCAATTTAGGAGAAACTGGGCACAGCCAAGTACAATCTGCAGTGACACTTCTTTTAGACTCACTAGCTTGAGCTTTGAAGTATCTCCTTGGTATGAAGCGGAAACTGTGAGCTCCAGGTGAGAGACAGGATTATTTCCCTCTGAAGGGAAACAGATACGGCTGCTTTCCTTGCCATTTCATGTTCTGGCAATTGTGTTTTTTCAAGTCAATACCCACAAGCCCTTACTACGTGGGGAAGAAGGAACCCTCTGTAGATGCTGTCATCAGGGAATCACAGGCGGTATGATCCCTACAAGTGGTCCACGTATGGGGACAGAAAGAGGGCTGCAGCAGCTTTTCTCAGAAAACACTGGGGAGTTAACCCCCAATCTGCCACCTGCCCCCACATTCTGTCCTGTTTCAGCTTGGAGGTATAATCCCTTCGGTCAAAGGCCAGGTCTGAGTCATCCATAAACACTGTGATTAGACTCCAGAGAGATTTTCATAGGGTTCTTTAGATTAGGAAAAGTTGCTCAATCGGTCAGCACTCACTGACCCGAGGTCTGGCCAGGGCACTCAATACCCAGGCAGAATAAAGTCTTGGACTCACCCTGCTGAGAAGGATGCAGAGCGTAGGTGGGGGCGGGGTACATGAGATTGAGTCGCCAGGAAAAGAGAAACTGGGACAAAAGTGTGCCTTCTGAGATGTTCTTCTTTGTCATGAGTAGGAAAGACATACTCGGTATGGAATAAGGATAACTGTTTCTGTTCATGACATCAACAGGGTTTTGGCAAAGAGACAGATAAGATTTCCTCTTTCTTGGTTTTATGTAACAGACAGGTTTTCTAAATGTCAATGTCTCTGGTCCACTCTCACTCCCTCCAACGTTAACAGAAGTGATAGCCATTTATGAAGCATTAGCTAAAGCACTGGGTACTTGTTTGTGTACCCAAGTGTGAAAGGTGATTCAGGAACAGATGTCCTCTGGAGGGCGGGCTTCACGGCTAGATGGGAAGATTGACTGCCTGGGGGTGAAGCGTGGAGCCCAGTAAGGCACACAGGTCAGTACATTGGGAGACAGTCAATAAACTGGTCTTATACTTCGAGGCATGACCAGCCTTTAACAAACTGCAGTGACATGCTTTATTTGCACTGAGGACTGCAGCTGCCTCCCTATCCACATGCCCCTGCCCACCCCTGGGCATCTACACGTCATCACAGGAGCATCTGCACACTTTAGGAATTACTTTCAGAGCTGCAAGAGTTTCAAAAGGAAAATGCTATCAAAATATTTAGCTGACTTGTTTACTTGTTCACTATGCTGAGCATATAAAGGTAAGAATATAAATCTTCTGTGCAATCTCCAAGGCATTCGAAAGTAACACATCTCTTTTCTGTTTTGTCTTAACCCTGTCCTGTCACAGAGGCAAGACTCATCTCACATAGCACAGAGGAAGCAGGCTGCCCTGTACTCTGCTCATGTTATCAGGAGCCAACAGGGAAGGGATTCTCTGATCGTTCGACCTTTATAAAAAGCACCTAAGATACCCTCAAACAGGTACCTGCAGGAATACATGGACCCTCCCTTCACACCATGGATTCCCCATCTGATCTTTTGCATCCCACTGGCAGCCTGTGGGGGCCCCACGGCTCTCCCGCTTGGAGCAGCCCCTTTAATGAGCTGTAACAGGGAGCGACTTCTTGGGGCTGCCTTTCTGGATCTCAGTCTTCAGACTATTACCACATGCAGGACAGCAGGAAAGACATCAGCCCTCACCACTGAGCAGGACCGAGGCCCCAAGTGCAACATGGGAAGGAGCAGGCCCGTGCAGCTGGCTGGGGGCACAGCGCGCCGCTGCGTGGTGCAGGCACCTCTAGGAGGCTGAGCACTGCCCGGGGCCGAGGGCTCACCAGTGAAGACGCTGCACAGTGTGGTCAGGTGACGCACCTGTTCCTCGGCCTAGGGGCAAAGTAGGAGCCATCCTCATGAGGTCTGACGGAGGTCACGCACCTGCTCACACTTCTCACCAAGGCTCTACCCTGCTGGTCTCGGCCGGAGGCGGCGGAGAGGCTTCCCCAGAGACCTGAGACGACCTTGGAAGTGCAATAATATTGTGACACCTCAGACAAGTGGGACAGGTGGCTTGTTACCTGGGAGAGTAAGAGCGCCTGAGAGTCTTGTGGGAGGGAGCGGTGGGGATGGAGTTAGGCTGAGGAAAGGGAGGTGGGTGCCTCGACAGCCCATCGGCACTGCAACCCCATAACCGACTGCAGTGATCAGAAGAGGAGAGTCAGAAAGAGACACAGAACAGGCAAAGGGGGCGGGAGGCACTATACTCTGCACGCCCTGCAGTCTCATCGCTTTTGGACAAGGTTCTACCCAAGTTCACACTTCACCATTCAGAGGAAAAGGACCAACCTTATTCTACAATTTGGTCCTCCATCAAGACTGCTCATGCCTTCCCCACTCAGTCCTGTATTTACATTTTTAAATCACATGAGATTCCAAGTATATAGGAGTGAGTGTGTGTGTGTGTGTGTGTGTGTGTAAAGGAAATTTTAAGTGCTTACATGCAAAAAAACCCCACAGATGTTTACTTTCAGATAATGCAATAAATTATTTTAGAAGAAACCCAAAGAGGAATTTTGGGCCCGAATCAAATGGGACCAAGGGAACCACAGCAGAAAGTCTCAGAGAAGGTACCACCCACCAGAACACTCAGGCAGGGAACAACATGCTCCCCCAATGAGACCCTCAGATGGGGTCCAGAGGTGCCACGAGTAACTTCCTCCCGAGAGAACAGCTCAGCCAGGAGGGATAGAAAACCCAAGTCCCCTGCTCATGTGACCTGATACGAAGTTTAAAGTGCATCTGAGCGCAGGCACTCCTCACTCAAGTGACCGGGGCATGCAGAGGCCCCGCCTGAGTTCCAGCATCTGCTGCAATTCACTAGACCAGGAACATGGGAAGGGCGTAAACCGAGCTGCCTGCAGGCGTGAGAGGCGGCCACGGGGCAGGGGCCACAGGACGAGCGCAGCGTTCTTACAGAGCAGCACACCCGCCCTGGCCCCTCCCACAGCTCAGGAGCAGTGGTCCAAGGCTCGTCTCCGGCTGAGGACAGTGGCGGCCCTGTGTGTCACAGGGAAACCAAGGTGCGGACGGAGCGGCTACTGCAGCACAGAAGGGCCCTCCAGGCCACACGCTGCCTCGGGGACACAGGAGGACACGGACGACCACCTCGAGCGGGAGCTCTGCCCACAGGTTATACTGAGCAGAGGCGCCAGCACCTCAACGTGGGGGGGTCTCCAGGCTGATCCCCGCGTTGAGTCGGTGCACGATCCTGATCATCTGATGGGGTGAGTGTAAAATCTGCCTAAAATTACCTCTTGTTGCTGGCTACCAGATATTACCTACTTAGCATCCTAAGGTATGTTCACTGAGCGCGCAGACCTGTCCTCAGGTGAGGACAGCCGCATGCTTTTTCTATTTTAAAGGGAAAGATGTCACATAATTGCTGAAGCCCCTAGCAAATCTGTTTTTCATTCAACATCAATCCCACTAAATTGAGCTAAAATGTAAACATATATTTAATTATGGAACACTTCAGACCATAAGTCTTCTCTCTAAAGACCCAGGAGTGTCTGTTTGCTCACAGGGAATAAACAATAATTCTTCCTTCTCACAGAAAAGGACAACCGTTGGATGGAATTTCCACAGAAGGTTGACCTGTTAGCTGTGGCTTCTCTAATGTTACCAGGTTGATAAAAATGCCTTTCTCACTAGCAATTAAAAAGAAAAAAACAAAAACTCAAACGTGTCAGCATGTTAGACTATCTTCTTATTAGCATCATAATCTGAGGGTAGAACTTTTGGACTTCAAAAAAAAAATAGTTCATTTTGATACTCAAAATTGGCTTAAAAATGAAGAACTGGCAAGAACTCTTCCCTTGAATAACAAAAAACTAACATCAAATGGTCAAGATAATTCAAAAGAATAGCAGAAGAGAAAAATACATGTATCAAGAGCACTACTCAAAAAAATAACCGAGATTTATATCTGGTGGAATTTGTCCACTGCCTACTTAAAATGTGGTGACATAATACACTGTCCTAATTAGTGCAAGAGTTCATTTCTTTCATAAATTTCCTGGTAGAAAGAATGCAGCGTATTTGAATATTTCCTATGATATGATGACATGAGGTAGCTTTTTCTACTTCTGGACAGTTTTAGCTGTGAGAAAAATTATTTTTCCCATTGAGTTAAAGTTGGCTCAGGCCATTCTGGCTAGTTACACACTGGCTGGGGCATATTCTGTTTAAAAAGAAAGAAAGAAACTACATAACTAAGTAATTTCTTAAAGAACAATTTGTTGGTAAGAAAATATTTCAGCCTCACTTGGACTGAAAAAAAAACTGGAAAAAAACTTCTTATTTCTTACACTCACCTGATAACCCTAACAGTAAAAATTTAGATCAGGCTAGTTAAGAATGAATGGTGACCTGGAAAAATAAATTAGAATTTTAAAATAATTTGGAGATCCATCAAGTTTAAAAATACCTAGCCAATTCTTAGCTCTCCTGGCTTATACTAGCAGCCTCCCCAATCTTTCACTTAAATTATCGGCACATATAATAGCAAATACTTAATCCGAAATTTACCCTTTATTACCTGCAGAACGTGCAACCTTATTGTGAAATAACTAAAAAATAAGTAAGAACTGTGTATTATGGAAGAACAGATTTGTCAATGTTTCAGAAGTATCACTTCTAAACAAAAGCAACAATTTATAGAGAATACAAGTTTTCCACAAATTCTCTCCTACCAAGGGAGAGAATTCTATGACATTTACTGCCAACACTGGGGTCATTTAAGACAGACCATTTATTTAGATACAGATAAAAAGTTGGCTAAGTCTCAGTCACACGTGGGAAAAGTCAGACACGTTTTCATTACTTTCTGGTCTCAACTGTCTAATTAGATTGGCCTGCTGCAATCATGACCACACAGACCAAATCTGGAGACACAGTGTTACATCAGTCTACCTACATACAGCGCAGGGGGACCTTAGGCAATACAAACACTGAGATACTATAAGTATACAAAATATTTCGCTTCTCTAAGAGAAAAAGACAAATCTGACATTTTCTAAAATATTTATACGATAACTTGAGTAGCTGAACAGGACTGCAGCAGTAAACACAGCAGAGTTTGGAAGACTCTCGAGCATTAGAAAAACCTAACCTTACAGGCACGTCCCTAGTGTTATCTTCCAACTAAAGAGGTCACTCTTAAAGGGGGATGGCATACTTGTAAGATTTTCCTCTAATTTTAAGATCCTGGCGTCAGCAACCCAGAGTCCTAATGTCTTGAAACAAATACACATGCATGACCCTTCCACATCCAGGTACTGGCTCTTTCCTAAAAACTGCAGCCTACAAGGTCACCGTGAATGAGACCATGAGAAACGTCAGCACAGCCCAGGGGGTCTCAAGAGCCATCACACGGAGACTTCTAAAGGCTCTGGTCAGATGGAAACATTATCTACAGATCTCGAGGCCAAGTATCTTCTCAAGTCACGGCCACAGACTCCGTAAGGCTAATGTTTCACATGGCCCCAACAGGAGTCTGAAAATGTTGATCCATTTTTAGTTCTCAGGCTCTCAACCCCGCCTCAGAGCAGCACTCTGCTCCAGCTATGAGTCTAGAATGAGAGCCACCATGCTTGGAACAGCCACTTGGCTGGAAACCACCCCAGACTCTGTGTGGACAGTTATAAAGGGTTTTATTTAGATGGTCAAATATCTTCATGTGCTGCTATTGCTCACACAACAGCTAAAAAGTTTCTATGTTAAACAGGACTAAATATTACTTTTGGTTTTAAAATTTTTAAGGTACTAGAAAGTGTTTAGAGTTAGAAGAATTCTCAGGGACCATTCAGCAGAAACTGCTCATTTTACCACAGAAATTAACCGCTCTGCCCAAAATCACACAGTTAAGATTTGGGCGAAGACTAGGACCTGTGGGCCCCCAGTACCCACACACCTCTTGGTACTAAGCTCAGTCTAAAACCTGGAAATTAGCTAGAAGAGACACGGGGGTGCCCTAGTGCCTTCACTGCTGTCGAAATGGCTTTACCTTGGAGACAGGCCACCATGGGAGCAGTTGGTGGGTGAGGTCAGGGGGCTGGTCCGGCTGCTGGGGTGTCGGGAGGGAGTCCGACCAATGGTGTTGCTTGGAGAGCCCTGGGTGAAGGCAGAAGAGCTCTGTCACACAGGAGATAAATATAGAACACAGTTCCACTCTGCCCCGGCCTTGGAACCCACATGTAAATAAATGGGCAGATTTTGAATAATCAAGATGATTTTGCAGAATATTAAGTTCATTTTTTAAGTGCATAAGAGCCGAAAATCAGTCACTGCCCATAGGCAATCCAGAAGTGAGTGACTGCTGTCAGCTCTGCTAGAGTAACAGACACAATTCAGCATTTGCATCTTTACAGAGTGAAAAAAACTAAGTTCCTCAATAACTGCCCGAATGGCTTCATAGACGTTAACTAAACCTGACTAGAGAGAAAGGCCACATTTAAACACCAGATTCATTCACTGGGAATACAGCAGGATCAGACATGGCCCCCACACTCTGGATGCCCACGATCTATTGCGAGAGAACAGGAAAACTGGCTACTCCATTAGAGCAGGCTCTAGATGCAGAGTGAGTGGCGGCTACCAACTGCAACCACAGCACTCACCACACTGGTGTTACTGGAATTCTTGAGGTGGTTATGCAGGAGTTTGGTGGCACCATCCTGGAATGTTTTTGGCAAGGCACCAAGTAACATGGTAAATTCAGGAGTGTTCAATTCAAACAGAGAGATGAGCACAATTTGTGCTGCCTAGAAACAGAAGAGATGATTAATTTGTGTTATGCGCAATTGCCTATCTTGGTCAAAATGCTCATTAAAATTGTTTATTTATTTTGGCCAAGCCACATGACTTGCAGGATCTTATAATAGTTCCCCAACCAGGGACTGAATCTAGGTCCTTGGCAGCAAAAGCTCTGAGTCCTACCCACTGGACCATCAGGGAAGTTCTAAAATTGTTTTTAAAAGAAAACTGTTTTGTATGAGTAAATAATAACATTTGTGCCACACACAAAAAGGAAAGAAAAGAAAAAAGCACCTAGAGAAAACATATAATTGATGGTAATCAATTATAAATAGCCTAATTTTGATATGGAAAATAATCCCTGTTTTCACTGAACACACTGGCCTCAGATTTCCATAGCATGTTAACAATAAACTCCTGCAACTTCTCTGTTTCCAGGACTAGGGTCAAACAATCAAAAAATCTGAAAAGGCTTAAGACTGTTCACCCTAGTAAGTCAGAATCAGATGAGGCTCCCAGTATAACTTGCAAAGAACAAGTTTCTAAACAAGCCTCCATTGCTTTGTCTTATAAAAAACTACTTTTCTCAGTGACTAAGAAAAACTAGAAAAAAAGAGAGTTCAGGTACATGTGAAAAACTACTTTTACATCTGTGCATTGAGGACAGAGACAGTCTCTCCAGAGCAAACCAGAGTGACTCCTCTGCCTTTTGGAAACTGTTCTACTTTTCTTTACTAGAGACAACACGTGCAGGATGACTCATTGTTGCTAGCAGCCCTGTGAGGAAGGGCAAGCGGCTAGAGCGACAGCAGCCAAGTGGACCCTGGCCACCCACCCCAGTGGGTTACGCGTCTGCTACTAGCTTAACGCCTGCGGAAGGCCAACTCAGGAGGTTATGCATCTGCTACTGGCTTCATGCCTGCGGAAGGCCACCCCAGTGGGTTACGCGTCTGCTACTAGCTTCATGCCTGCGGAAGGCCACCCCAGTGGGTTACGCGTCTGCTACTAGCTTCATGCCTGCGGATGGCCACCCCAGTGGGTTACGCGTCTGCTACTAGCTTCATGCCTGCGGATGGCCACCCCAGTGGGTTACGCGTCTGCTACTAGCTTCATGCCTGCGGAAGGCCACCCCAGTGGGTTACGAGTCTGCTGCTAGCTTAATGCCTGTGGAATTAGTCGCAAGGGTTTTGACCTGGAAAAACTATGCCAAAAGAAAACTTTAGGAAGTACTAATGGCATTTCTTAGAATTTTCTAAGAGTCAAAAGAACGGAAAATGCTTTATGAAAATCTTTTAATAATTTATATTTCTAAAGATTGTAATATTTAGGCTTGAAGCAATCATTCTAAGTATTTTTCCACTATACAGAATATTACATAAAAACATGACTGCTGAGAAATTTTTTGCAAATAAACACCAAAAAAAATTTCAATGATTTTATAATGTTAAAATTAATTTTAGGTCCAGTTAAGACAAAACTACTATTTTGTGCCTGGAGAAGGAAAAAAAAATCCAAATACCCATATGCATTTAATCAAAATTAAAAATTACAAATCAGTAGAATAACATTTTTTACACAATTGAAAATTTTATTTTATAATGTCTTTAAACACAGCACTGGGCAAAAGCATCTTACTTCTCTTGACTTCGAAACATGGTCCTTATATCCTTTCCATTAAAATTAAATTGTAAGGGCCAGTGATTTTTTTGTGACACAGGCAAAAATTATTATTGACTGAATTGAAATAAACATTTCTCCATTACTGAAACAGTTTTAATAAACCATTATCTGAAGAACTCCATTTCACCATCAACTTAATGTACTGTTAATATGATTTGTATAAACGCAAATTCCCCAAATCATGCAAAGTTACCTGTGCATGTAAAAAAGTCTTACTGATGTTAGGAAAAAAATGCATGCAGAAAACACTGCACTTCAAAGAGAAGCAAAGAAGCAGACTTGAGTTTTGGCAGGGAAAAGTCAAGATCACCAATTTAATTAAAGTTTAGGCACATTTTTTTATTGACTGCGAATGGCATTAGAAAACTATAAAATGCATCATTACATTTTTTTAACAGTCTGTTTTTACATGGAATGGGCCACTGTCTTTAGACCTAATCTCTCCCCAAAATGACAAGATAAAACTTATTTGGAGTTTTTCACAAAGCAAATTATGAAACTGGTGGGGTCTTTTAGTAAAAAGAGGGCTGCAAGGTGACAGGCCTAAAAATTGTGCTAATTCATGGCTACTTAAAATGAGTGCCTTCTGTCATATGGGAAAAGAAAGTACAGCAGACTTCAACTTCTACCCACTTAAGAGCCTTCCCTCAATAACCTAAAGGTGAATTTTCATGAGAAATCAAATAGAAAGATGGGGAATTCTGAAAATAATTCATTCAAGAGATGGTATATGGTTTTATACACATAAAATGAATATAATTTATTTTTGCACTTTTCAAAATATAAATTGTAAATGATTTCATACAGCTTTCAAAAGTAACCTTTTGGCTTCAAGCTGTTTTCAAAGTAAAATCTTTTTTTTCTGGGATCCATGCTCCAGAAATGGACAGAAAGTATCATTTAAATATGTTATTTTAAAAAGATTTCACATCAAAGTTCTAAAAGAAATGAGACTGTTATGATCCTAAAATATTTTACCTAGAACTCTGTATCAGGGAGGAGTCGGAATACCAGAATACTCAGGCAAGGATAAAAACTGGGTTATATTTATCATCACCATCAATATGTTCCTCATTGCAGGAATAATTCCAAACATGGGGATGGGATGGAGAAATTTGGGGCTTCTCTGACAGCTCAGTTGGTAAAGAATCTGCCCGCAAAGCAGGAGACCTGGGTTTGATCCCTGGGTTGGGAAGATCCCCTGGAGAAGGGAAAGGGTACCCACTCCACTACTCTGGCCTGGAGAAGTCTGTGGGGAAACTTATTTTAAACAGCCTGGGCCAGAGCTCATGATCAAGAATGAGGCAAAAGGCAGAGGGTGTCACCGCTGTGCCTGTTCCATCTCGGAGCCCCTGCCCCACGAGAGGAAGGGCCGTTGAGAAGCCAGGCCGGAGACGCTGCCGCTGCTGCTTTCTAACGGCAATCCTCGGGGCCACGCGTCTGAAAGACCACATGGTGCCCTAAAAGGAGATGGCCCCACAGGAGAACTCAGGTGGTGAAGGTAAAGGGCCTCCAAATCCTACTGCTAGCTGTCTGAAAAGAAGCTGCAGGGTTATCAACGGCCTGTACCTCACAGCAAGGGATTCTTCCAGAGAAGAGATCAGTAAAACTCTGACAAATGCTTCAGTGTTGGCATTAATTAGGGAAGCTTAAAATTTGAGAGGAAAGGGAGTTTTCTAATTACTTAAACATCCATTACTGCTCCCTTCAGAGTGTGATTAAAACTGCTTTAGAAAAATCACCAAAGAGAAGGTATTTCAAAACCTTCCGACATTTTAAATTCAGCATCTCTGCTTTGCTGTTGTGTTAAACTATGGTAGAAGTCTGTCTGCAATATGGCTGTTTCTTTGGGAAGACAATTAATTATAAAACACACCAAAACACAATACTTATACAGGCACGTGCACACATGCGCACACATACATTCTTTCTTACATAGTATTATGTTAACTTTAGATTTTTTCCAAAATCTTCTCAGTGTCTTCGCAAGTGTAATCAAGATTAATCATCTAAATGCAGACAGTGACGTGTCTTTTTGCAGATTAGTACACAATTTCAAATCTACCTGTTTACAGTTTTCTTCCAAGTTTCCTCCTCCAGGCCCAGAGCAGGTCGAGGCCGCCCTTATGGGTAAGTCTTCCCCTACTCGACTATGCTGAAGCAGGATGGACAGACACAGAGGGGCAGGGTTTCATCAGAGGCAAGAAGCGCACACTCAAAGCCACGGTTACTGGTAAGCGTCCAAGTGTCTGGCTTAGTTTCTAAGTCATGTGTGTGTATGTATATGAGAGAGACAGACTGTACAATCTAAAAGTCTACAAACAGCAATGGAACAGTAACAGGGTTCTTAAGAATAATATCAGTAACTACCAGTTTTAAACCTCAACCATCCCCCAAGTCCTTCAGAATAACAACCCCTCCTGGAAGCAGGGCTCTTGCAGAGACTGAAGTGAGACTGGAGCAAGGCAGTCACAATGAAGCCAGGATTCAAATCTCATTCGATGGTATGAAAACTCTGAGCTTTTAGATTAGGACAGCTGCCTATCTGTAATCAGAGACTCACATTTTTTTCAATTAGCAATGCCAGCTTTCGAAAGCTGTTTATATGCTTCTCCTGCTCCACAAACTGCATCTTCATCATTTTTAGTTTTCTGTGTCATATGCCATTATTCCCTGCATTTCTCAAAACAACCTTTGGGGGCCAAACCTGTGAGTTCATTTGACAAAGCCAGTGCTCAATGCTAGAGAGTCACATAAGGAAACACACAGGGATTCTGAGCCTGAAAATATAAACATACCATTAAAAATTCTATTGTCATTACTGCATTCCTGAAGCGGCAGCAAAACAAAGCAGCCCTCAAACAGTAACAGCTTCAACTACAAAAACAAAGCAGTATTTATCTAGATTTTTATATGCTCTATTGTAATTGGTCCTCCCAACAGTGACTAAAGCAAGTATCATTATCCCTATCTTATGGATTTTAAACAAGAATTCAGAGGCTAAAAAGCCTCTAAAAAGCAGCATAGGCAGAAGTCAACAGAGGTCAAAGTCTAGAATCTACTTTCTTCTGTGAATATATTGTATTATCTTAATAAAAACACAGTGCATTAAGAAAGGTCTAGTGTATCTCTGTATAGTTTGGTCAACACAACTATCAGGACTCTCAGAGTTAAAAAACGGAAACAGTAACTTCAGGAATAAAGCAGGCCAGTTAAGAGTCTGGGTAGGGTTTCCCACCGAGTCCAGGTTAGTCTTGGCCAGGGAAGCACACCTCGCTGGTGACAGGCTTGTGCTTCTTCCCTTCTTAACATCTTAAATATTTAAACACCCATCTCTCTCCAATATGGAACACCCCAGAACACTGACATAAAAGGGAAAACAAAATGTTAAAAATGCTTAAGGCAGTAAAGCAGAGTTGTATCAGCTTACACCGATTCTAATGTACTTTCCCAAATACGAGATGCAGAGAACAAGTTACACCATCTGCAAACTTCCCAAGTACTGGTTGTATAAAATTAATAGTCTGATGATATTGCCAATATGAGAGTTTACTGCATTGATTTCAGACTGTAGGGTGCTTTAGTATTTAGAAGGTAACACCTCACTCTACTCTTAGGAAATTAAATCAGAACACCAACAGGAGAACTTGGTTCATAATCAGAAAGTGCTTTTAAATCACCAAGATGTCCTCCTAGTACTTGATACATTCTGTAAATGACAGGTGAGTCAAAACATACTTCTACTTAAAAGAGATAAGTAAGCATATCTTTAGAGCATTAAATTATCCAGATAAAAATGGTGCCCCTTTTCTTTCTTATAGCTTTAAAATAATAATGACAATTCTAATCTTAGCATACAGTGATATATACCATATCACAATTTCTAAGTGTTTTAACTTATTTAGGCACGACATTCATTTAGACAATCTTTCAAATAACATCTCAAGTTCTTGGATAAGGCAGCTGGATCACTTACAACAGCATCTATATCTGTATGAAATATGCAGTGGATGGAACATCAAAAGAGAGCATTTAAACAGAAGTAGCTCTAACTCCAGGAAGGATTAATCTGCAGTGCCTTAAAGAGTTTGTGAGAGGCAGCTATGGGGCAAAAGAACACACATTTGAATATTGTGCTTTAACAAGCCTATTTAAATCAAGTAACAGCGCTTTACTAGCAAGGGCTAGATGGATACAACTTAAAGCCAAACAATCTAATCCACATATATCTTGGATGATTAAAAAGCAGAGATGCATCTGCTAAACTGAACCCCAACACAAGTGTGTGTTTAGGTAAAAAAGTGCCCTATTTAAGTAAGAACTAAGGAATTACCAAACAACTAACCATGGAAGATTCACGCCAACCCACTGAAGAGGAGACCAAAGCCTTGGGTGGCAGAACACTAAGGTGGACCCCAAGATTCCAGCCTCCTGGTAAGTAAGCGCTGCACAATCCCCTCTCCTAAGGTGAGTGATGAACACCATTCCTACAATTACGTTACAAGGAAGAAGGGATTTTGCAAGTACAATTAGTCCCTCCCTAATCAGTTGATTTTTGGTTAAAGAGCAGATTATCCTCAGTGGATCTGACCTAATCAGGTGAGCCACTGCAAGCAGTCACAGAGATTAACATGAGAATCTCCTGCTGGCTTCTTTGTAATTTACCTTTTGTTCTTCAAGAATAATTTTGTTGAACAGAGAATTCTTAGTTGACTTTTCTTTGCTTTCAGCACCATTAAAGTCAACAGGATGCCTCTGTTCTCCAGGATTTCGGGTGAGAAAGTGGCTGTTTGTCTTCTTGAGGATCCAGGCTATGCTGAGCTGCTTCCCTGGGCTGCTCCCAGGAGCATCTGTTTCATTTTCAGCAGTTTGATTATGTCTAGGTGTGAATCTTTTTTTTTTTTTTTAAAGTTTACTTGGATTTGGTTGAGCTTCTTAGATGTGCAGATTAATGTTTTTCATAAAATTTAGGAAATTTTAGGACATTATGTCTTCTCCTGCTGGCTGTGCAGAAGCAAATTGCCAGGCCAGGTATGGGGGTGGCCTCCATGAGCTGTGACTGCCCCCTGCTGACAGTGGGCAAAAAGACAGGTACCACCGCCCTCACCAGTAATGAAATGACTTAGGCCAAGAACCATGGAGTTGGAAGAGAAGCATATTCTCAAGTGAGACTGAAGACCCAGGCAACATCTTGATTTCTGTCTGGGAAGACTCTAAGTAGAAAATCCAGAGAACATGGGCCAGACTTCTAATCCACAGAATTGTGAGATTATAAATTTTTGTAGTTTCAATCAGCTAAGTCTGTGGTAATAGGTTATACAATATGAAACTAATACAGAAGCCAAAGGAGAAGAACTTCCAAGCCTGTGGTTTTGAAAATGGTGACCTCAAAATGCTACCTGAAATTAGACGATTTCTCTTTGGGTACTTATTATTCATTAATTCATTTAAAATACTTCTTAAAATGCTTACTTTGTTCCTATAGGTATCATTCTAGGTGCTGGGCATAAGTAGGGAGGTGGGGGAGGTGCGGGGAACCGCAAGACCAGGTCTGGTCCTAAAGATGAGGAGGACCTAGCTGGGGTCCTGTGAAAACCAGCAGCAACAGGTCAAGACCACATCAGCAGTCCATGTGTCTGAGGGTCAATCCTAGGGGAAATGGTCTAAAATAAGGGGCTGCTTATTAAAGTGCTACACTTATTAAATAAGTGTTAATTCTTATTAACACTGTGCACTAAAAATCAGCCATGCATGGAAGGAACTCCAACCAGACAAAACAACGTCCACGCTCCACTTTGTACCAATTAAGTCAAGTGACTTTGGGGAGAGCACAGGACTGAGACTGGTTTTTATTGCAGCCAGGGCTGAGGACTACTGACAAAAAAAAAGCTTTTCAACTTCCTCTGAAGCCCTGGGTTACTGTCCCGGAGCCCAGGTTTGAGCTCGGCCTGAAGACGAGGTGCTTTAGCAGTCCTCATTACGGGGGAGGGGAGGTGGAAGGGCAGATGTGGAGCTGGAATGCCAGTACAGAACAGCTTTTGCACAGTATGACCCAAAACAACAGCAATGAGGTGCTGAAGATCAAACAGTAAATATGTTACGTGATCTCAGCGTTACACATCCTAACCATAATTGACTTAAGCTAGTATTTTAAAGTGGGCAAGAACACGCCTGCCAATGCAGGAGATTTAAAGAGATGTGGGCTCAATCCCTGGGTCGGGAAGAGCCCCTGGAGGAGGGCACAGCAACCCACACCAGTGTTCTTGCTGGAGAATCCCATGGACAGAGGAGCCTGGTGTGCTACAGTCCACATGGTTGCAAAGAGTTGGACACAACTCAAGCGACTGCACATAGTATTAAAGTAACTTGAGTGTTTTGATGTCCCAGGCTGGATAACTTATAAACATTTCTCTAGTGTCCTGATCACAAAACTTAGGACAATAAATCCTAGTTCCAATTTTTAATGTGCATGTCCAGAGAAAGCAGACATCATGACCACCATCAACTGTTCCCATAAAGGCCCTAATCATAATAACACGCAAGTATTAAGTATCCTTCAGCCTCACAGGAGGGAATACTTGAGTAACACTCAATTATGAAACACAAACTCACATAGACACACACATATTTCCTTGCTATGACTAAATACAGGAAGGCTTTTGTATCTATTGGTTGATCTGTGATTTTGAAAACCGTAACAGAAATACTTTGACTTTCAAATCAGCCAAATCATTCTACTACCTCCCACTGTACCCCTCTAATCCCAAAGAGGCTTAATAGTTAAAGGTTGCCAGTGAAATGTTCTTTTGACAAATACTGAAAAATTTTACAAAAGGATAAAAAATTTTAAATATTATTTAATATCAGAATAATAATTTTGAATGAGTGCATTAATAAAATTCATCCTTGTTTCTTTAAGCTTGGAGAACTTAGTTTATTATTAATACTATATAATGGCTGGAGAATTACATGGGCTGTAATTCTCCCAAAGAAACATTACGGGTGATTCTTTGATTCTCCTCCGTGGACTCCAGGAGGAAGGTGCTAAGCAGGTAGGTGTTCAGGTGCAAAACAATCTTGCTAACACTGCTTAGAATCATCCTTAATCCTGCCTTGACCTAAGTGGTCCACATTATCAATTCTATCCCAAGGCCAAAGGACTATTTTGGCTATGGAACTGGCTATGAAGGAAGTATACTATGGGGAGGGGGGGAATGCAAGGTTCATGATTATACACAAATAATCAAAATCAAATACTTTTAGTCTAAAAGCAGAACTGAGAAATCTGACTTAAAAGTAATTTTTAAAGGCTAGTTAGTTTACATATGAAGTAAAAGAATAATGGCCATGTGTGAAACTCAAACGTAGAACAGGACACTGACAGGAAGAGAACAGAAACAATAAACACAGTGACAGCTCACACTTCCTGTGTGCTTACACATGTCAGGAACTGATCACACTTTCAACATAGTAGTCCTGAGGCAGACTACTACCTAGGAATAGAAATGCTAACATCCTGTGCTCCCCTTAACTGCATTACATGCCTCTCAATGTGCCATTTCAAGTATTTATCTTTAGTGGATTAAAATAAAAGGAACAATACAACATGGTGGTATCAGGGTGCCTCCCATGACACAAGATTTCAGGTTTTCATTTTGATGTGCCAAGACTGGAAGGAGGTGGTACTGGACAGAGAACATAGGGATAGGAGCAAAGTCTTGGTTTCGCAGAAAAGGAAAGAGAGGTTTGCATGTAGGTATGGAGGTGGTTTGCACATTCCCATAAATTCCTCTAATTCACACCTAAGAACAGGCTATGATTAAAGCTGTGCCTGGCGCTCTGGGACATACCTTTCTCACGTCTGAACTCTTTGGTTCTGTTGTCCAGGTTATAATTCTAGAAACAGCAAGCCTTGTCTCACTAGAGTTTACGAAATCTGTTGGGTCCATCTGCCTGGCGAGAGACTCAATGTACTTCAGGATTGCAACTTTGACCTGAAAGAGCCAGTAATTACAAACAGTAAGTACACTTTACACATTTTTGAACAGAACTCTTATTGGTGCTCAGAGAAAAGTACACGCGACCTGGACTTATGTTCCGACACAGGGAGCCTTCAGCTGGGAAAAAGCATAGATGACTGACCCGGAAGTCTGGGACAGGAAGGGGGCCCTGCAGAGAAGCAGGCCCTGATCCTCTGACGCCCCAGGTCACTTGCTGAGCAAGAGCCCATTTGGGGGTGCCGAGGGACCCCCCAGCTCTGCCACTGACAGAGTGGGCATGAACAACTCAGCGTTTGCATTTTTAGCCACTCTAGGCCAGGTCTTGCAAGGAAGCACTGAAGGCAATCAGGGTGATGTTCTGCCCTAACTTCTCCACTGATGTCTCACTTGGCTTTGACCTCAGGAGAAATAGGCTATGATTTATTAGGCCTCTCCTAAAACCTTGACAGAAGCTGGTGACCAAAGAACAGAGAGTGTACCCAATCTGATTCAAAGGAATACATCCTCCTTCAAATACTATCAGTCTTGTTCTTACGTTTTTTACATTACAAAACATCTAACAGCTAATTTACATGTGTTATAATGTTAATATTAAAAACGTTCTAATAAGAGAGCTATTTCAATACATCCAAGTTTCCTAGTTTTAAACATTAACTGTGAAACAGTAATAACACGCCAATGTTGGTGAGGATGTGAAATAATTGGGAGTTCTCAGATACTGCTGGCTGGAATATAATATGGTACAGCCATTTCAGCAGTCTGAAATAAAGTGAAGCATGTCCTTACCAAGTACGCCAGCACTAGGTACTGAACCAAGAGAAATGGGCACACGTTGCTCGTAGCAGATTTACTAATAGCCAAATATGAGTCATGCCTAAAAAAGTATAGGTTAAGCAAATTTGACTTCTAGAGGTTAACTATAATGACAAACAGTTACCGACCTTGAGGTTAGGAGTTTGAGTCTGATCCACAATAAATCGCATCAAAATGTTAAATTGTTGATCAAATGGAAAGGAGTCCCTAGGTTTATAAAAAGAAGAAAGTATTTTAAAAGAAAGATTTCTTACAAAAAGTAATGTAAAATCATATAAGAAACAAAAAAACAGATTAACACACAAAAAAACAGATTAACACATGTAAAAAGCAAGTCTGTTTACTTTTTTTAAACATTATTTTTCATTTTATATAATAAATACTAAAAGTAATACACATAACACAGAAAAGTTAGAAAAAGAGAAATCTTCTTAGAAGTCACCAAACACATAAACTAAGCAATGAACTAAGGAAGAAACGCTTCCTTGCCTCCTCGGGATTTGTTTACCTTCTTTTCCAGGTACCTTCTGGAATACTGCTCACACAAGAAAGAGCTCCAACGCCCAAGCCTACCTTTTCACACCCTGACGAGGCTGCCTGCACTGTCCATCCCCGGAGGTCTTTGCTGGGTAACAGCCAACTGTGTGCGTCAGCACAGAGGACTGCCTGGCACACTCACCAGACACATCCCCGCCAGTGACAGACAGACAGACAGACACTGCAGCCTGGCCCTAAGAGCCCCGCCCCGGCTCCAGTCTCACTAGGGGTTGATTCTGTGTCCTATCATCATCTTGTATTTGTGATCCGACTGAGGAGCCCTGAGGGCCCTTGGAGAATGACAGTCAGGCGCGCTCTTCCTTAAAAACTGCCCTCATGACTTTAAACTGCCCAAAGGGTCAGACCCCTTGTTCCTGATGCAGACATGCCTTCCACGGTAATAGGAAAGATGATGCAACAGAAACACATACTGAGGCTGAGTGTCTGTATTGCTCTCTTCAGACTCCCTTTAAGGGACTTTTCTCACTGTACAAAAGCATAGTGAAAATAAAAGGGATGTAGGGTCACATCTATAAAATCACAGGACTGATGTGAAATTTAAATAAAATGATACAAGAAAAATACAAAGTGTATGGTACACACTAAGTCTTAGTAATACCATCATTATAATGATTAATAAAAAGTAAACGATCCAATAGCACATCCTTTTCTCCTACAACTATCTGTATCCAGGAGGCCCTGAGGACCACTTCTGGAGGCAAAGCATACTTAGTATACATGATTTACGTGACTCGCACTGGCTACACATCAAAGAAATAGCACACAGAACACCTCCCCCTTTGTCCACAGCAAACAGAGGGTGGACGTCTTAGGCTGTCACCAAAATAATGCCAACTCAAAGAAGATGTAGGTATTTCATCTCATGGATTGTTGGGATATTTCAATATGCTAACAAAAGAATGTGGGTAATTAAGTAAGAAGGAAGGTATTCAAGTGGGTGACAAAAACTATAGGTAACAGAGTGACTAGAAACCATCTACAAAGGGTCTCCTAATATCAACATGGTCTCGTTCCCTCCTCCCCAGCCCAACAGACATTTTTCCAAAGATGACATACAAATGGCCAACAGGTACACAAAAAAGTGCTCAACATCACTAATTATTAGAAAAACGCAAAGAAAAACTACAATGAAGTATGTCTCACACTTGTTAGAATGGCTATTATCAAAGAGACAGGAGATAATAAATGCTGGTGGAAATGTAAATTGGTGTAGCCACTGTGGAAAACAGTATGGAGGTTTCTCAAAAAAACTAAAACTAGGGAGTTCCCTGGTAGCCTAACTGTTAGGATTCTGGGCTTTCACTGCTCTGATCCAATGTTCAATTTCCAATCAGGAAACTGAGATCCCACAAGCCACATTGCCTGGCCAAAAAACAAAGAGAGACAGCCATCTGACCTGCAGCACCATTCACAATCACCAAGACATGAAAACCACCTAAGTGTGTTGATGGATGAATGGATAAGGAAAATGTGGTGTGTATATAAACAATATTATTTCGTCATAAAAAAGAAGGAAGTTATGCCGTTTGTGACCACATGGATGAAACTTGAGGGTATTATGCTATTTGAAATAAGTCAGAGAAAGACAAATACTATATGATAACACTCATCTAAAGAATAAAAAAAAAAAAAGTCAAATCCATAGAAACAGAGTAGAATGGTGGTTGCCAGAGCTGAGGGGTAGAGGAGATGGGGAGTGCTGGTCAAAAGGCACAGACTTCCAGTTACAGTTATGACATGAATAAGTTCTGAGGGTCAAACGTATAGCATGGTGATGATAGGTAATGATACTGTGTCATACACTTGTTAAGAGAATGTATCTTAAATGTTTTTACCACATACGCAACAAAAAATAGTAATTAAGTGAGGTGAAGGATATAAATATTAACACTGTACTAATAATTTAGCAATATACCCATGTATCGAATCCTCATGCTGTACACTTAGAACTTAGAGGATGCTGCATGTCAATTATACAGCGAAAGCTGGGAGAACATGGTCTTGCCCCAAACACTTGCCTTGTGACATCAAGAGCCTTCTGAACTTTTGCTTGCACAGATCCAAGTAAATCTGCTCCCATTTTCTTCAGTAATTGTGTGAGAAGAACAAAAAGCCAGTCTTGCAAGTCATCCTTATGAATTATTATAAAATCCACAAGAGTCTCCAAAAACATACTGAAAACCTAGACACAAAGGGAAACCAAATATTTCACAGGTTTAATTCACAATTTCCTCCCAAGTCTTCAAAACGTGAAAATGCCCAACTGACCTTTGCCCAGACTCACAACTTGGGTGACAATGTGAACAACTGGACGGGGTATAAAAGGCAAATGTAGCACAGAAAAGAGAGAAAGGAAAAGGGGTTGGAACTTACTCTCTGTTGTGAATTCCACCGCAAACCAGGCCATGCAACGAAACAGATTTCATGTTAGTCCACAGTGAAGTCACATCATTTTCATGCAGTTTCCTAAAAGGCCTGAAAAAGGCTACGACAAAATCCTCTCCCCTCCCACTACATGCCTTTAAAATCCAGTAGAGAGAGAAATTAACTTCGTTGAAAAGTATGATCTAATCCTGGAGGCGAGCCTGCCTTCCTTCCTTCCTTCTCTCTCTCTTTAAAAAACCCTTTTAACCATTATATTTATTTCATTATCTAGCATTCAACACCTATTACTATAGGATAAGGAAAAAAAAACTTGCATACCTATTGCTTTTCATTTCCATCATCTATTTTGATGTATGCCAACTCAAATATTACAAAGTGTTATCTTTATAAAAAATATTATAAAAGCTATACTAATATTTATAAAAGAGTACGGCTTCGAATAAAAGGGACTGATGGCTGACATAATTCTCACACCACAGTGCGATCATCACTGCTGCCTCCTGTGAGACGAAGTTCACAGTGGCTTACCCCTGAACCAACTTCAGCGAGGTAAATGGTAGCAGCGTGTACCTATTTGGTTAATGGGTTGTGCCCTGCTGGGACAAACCAGCTATCATAGACTTACTTAGTCATAGTGCAGGAACTATTAACCACCAGGGGTCTCTCGGGAGACAGCTCAGAGAGAAGTCAGTGAGTCCCAGCTGCGGGACTCCTGGCTTAGCACTAAGGCAGCTAGCAAATATCGACTAAGCTGAGACCTCCAAACTCACTGTACAAGAGCCTTCTGGTGAAAACAAATTTCTTTCTTTATCCTCACATTCTTTATCCTCATGTTCTGAATCAGCAATCTAGAGGTGACAGGTAATAGAAATTTCATCAATGTCCAAATCCACCTAATATCCCTTATGTCATACATCTTATGAGTCTTATGCTTTAAATCTTACCGCTCTTAATATTATCTTAGAGAAAATCTTGATAATTTTATCTTTGAACATCTATGTGACCTTTAAAATCAATGCTTCTTGGATTTTATTAATATTGTGAATGTTAATCTGGTTGGGAGGGTCAAAACAGGATTTTTAAGACATGTTTCAAGACCAATACTGAGGAGAATTGCTGCCCCCCGGCAAAAAAAGGAGAATCCCTGCATTCACTACCCCCTGCTCCTGTGAGCATCTCAGAAGCAAGGGAGGGGTGTGATGTTGTTTTCTGTACCCTGAGCCCAGAGGGGGTGCTCAGCAAGTGCTGAACGATAGCACAGGCAACTGGATGACAGACATTTCATGGACATTTCTACAAGGAGGAAAGGGCAGGAAAAGAAGGGAGAGGATAACTGGCTAGGCTTCTGGCCATGACAGGTTTCCTTCCCCCGGTAGGACTGAGAAGAGACCATTTTTACTAGGAAAATGATAGTGTAAGATGGTTAAACCTTGTGCATCAAGTATTTTAAGATTTGCTTGTGTTGATTCTAGGTTTTCTGAATTTCTACGGAAGTTGAACGATTCTATGAAGACCTACAAGACCTTTTAGAACTAACACCCAAAAAAGGTGTCCTTTTCATTATAGGGGACTGGAATGCACAAGTAGGAAGTCAAGAAACACCTGGAATAACAGGCAAATTTGGCCTTGGAGTACAGAATGAAGCAAGGCAAAGGCTAACAGAGTTTTGCCAAGAGAAAACACTGGTCATAGCAAACACCCTCTTCCAACAACACTACAGAAGACTCTACACATGGACATCACCAGATGGCCAATGCCAAAATCAGATTGATTATATTCTTTACAGCGAAAGATGGAGAAGCTCTATACAGTCAGCAAAAACAAGACCAGGAGCTGACTGGCTCAGATCATGAATTCCTTATTGCCAAATTCAGACTTAAATTGAAGAAAGTGGGGAAAACCACTAGACTATTCAGGTATTACCTAAATCAATCCCTTATGATTATACAGTAGAAGTGACAAATAGGTTTAAGGGATTAGATCTGATAGACAAGAGTGCCTGATGAACTATGGACAGAGTACATTGTACATTGTACTCCTGACATTGTACAGGAGACAGGGATCAAGACCATCCCCAAGAAAAAGAAATGCAAAAAAGCAAAATGGCTGTCTGAGGAGGCCTTACAAATAGCTGTGAAAAGAAGGGAAGCGAAAAGCAAAGGAGAAAAGGAAAGATATACCCATTTGAATGCAGAGTTCCAAAGAATAGCAAGGAGAGATAAGAAAGCCTTCCTCAGTGATCAGTGCAAAGAAATAGAGGAAAATAATAGAATGTGAAAGACTAGGGATCTCGTCAAGATAATTAGAGATACCAAGGGAACATTTCATGCAAAGATGGGCTCAATAAAGGACAGAAATGGTGTGCATGTAACAGAAGCAGAAGATATTAAGAAGAGACGGCAAGAATACACGGAAGAACTATACAAAAAACATCTTCACGACCCAGATAATCAAGATGGTGTGATCACTCACCTAGAGCCAGACATCCTGGAATATGAAGTCAAGTGGGCCTTAGAAAGCATCACTACAAACAAAGCTAGTGGAGGTGATGGAATTCCAGCTGAGCTATGTCAAATCCTGAAAGATGATGCTGTGAAAGTGCTGCACTCAAATGATGCCAGCAAATTTGGAAAACAGCAGTGGCCACAGGACTGGAAAAGGTCAGTTTTCATTCCAATCCCAAAGAAAGGCAATGCCAAAGAATGCTCCAACTACCACACAATTGCACTCATCTCACACGCTAGTAAAGTAATGCTCAAAATTCTCCAAGTCAGGCTTCAGCAATACATGAACCGTGACCTTCCAGATGTTCAAGCTGGCTTTAGAAAAGGCAGAGGAACCAGAGATCAAACTGCCAACATCTGCTGATCATCGAAAAAGCAAGAGAGTTCCAGAAAAACATCTATTTCTGCTTTACTGACTATGACAAAGCCTTTAACTATGTGGATCACAATGAACTGTGGAGAATTCTGTAAGAGATGGGAATACCAGACCACCTGACCTGCCTCATGAGAAATCTGTATGCAGGTCAGGAAGCAACAGTTAGAACTGGACTTGGAACAGCAGACTGGTTCCAAATCAGGAAGGGAGTACATCAAGGCTGTATATTGTCACCCTGCTTATTTAACTTATATGCAGAGTACATCATGAGAAACGCTGGGCTGGATGAAGCACAAACTGGAATCAGACTGCCAGGAGAAATATCAATAACCTCAGATATGCAGATGACACCACTCTTATGGCAGAAAGCAAAGAATAACTGAAGAGCCTCCTGATGAAAGTGAAAGAGGAGAGTGAAAAAGTTGGCTTAAATCGCAACATTCAGAAAACTAAGATCATGGCATCTGGTCCCATCACTTCATGGCAATTAGATGGGGAAACAGTGGAAACAGAGTCACACTTTATTTTTGGGGGCTCCAAAATCAGTGCAGATGGTGACTGAAGCCATGAAATTAAAAGACGCTTACTCCTTGGAAGGCAAGTTATGACCAACCTAGACAGCATATTAAAAAGCAGACACATTACTTTGCCAACAAAGGTCCATCTAATCAAAGCTATGGTTTTTCCAGTAGTCGTGTTAGGATGTGAGAGTTGGACTATAAAGAAAGCTGAGCACCGAAGAATTGATGCTTTTGAACTGTGGTGTTGGAAAAGACTCGAGAGTCCCTTGGACTGCAAGGAGGTCCAACCAGTTCATCCTAAAGGAGATCAGTCCTGAGTGTTCATTGGAAGGACTGATGCTGAAACTCCAATACTTTGGCCACCTGATGTGAAGCTGACTCATCTGAAAAGACCCTGATGCTGGGCAAGATTGAGGGCAGGTAGAGAAGGGGATGACAGAGGATGAGATGGTTGGATGGCATCACTGACTCGATGGACATGAGTTTGGGTAAACTCTGGGAGTTGGTGATGGAAAGGGAGGCCTGGTTTGCTGTGGTCCACGGGGTCGCAAAGAGTCGGACATGACTGAGCAACTGAACTGAACTGATGGTTGTTTTCGTCCTTTATCCACCCTTTAACTTTCCTGGTATCTTCACTCCTCTGTTTTCTTTCTCTAAAACCATCTAACACCTTCAAAGGCTTCTTCCCAAATACTGGTTTTTATTTAAAATCTGGACTTCAAGTAAACTTTTGTCAAGGGTCTTGCTCTCAAGCTCCACTCCTAGAAATGGCTTGTCTCTCACTCTGGGATACTCAGCAGGGAGCCCTTGTCAAAAGGCCAACCTCAGGCCCCGCAGAGTCATGTGCACCAGCTGGGTGGCCACCATCCAGCAAATTCTTAGAAGTGGTAATCTACTTGGAGAAATAGTTGATGTGGCTTTTTAGTCAATCCATTCTATATATGCTATCATTTTTCTATCTTGTCCTATATAGACAAATTCTACATGGGTACCAAAAAAACAATTTATATACTTATTTTCTTCACTACTGTAACTTTCTAAAAAAGCATTATAATACACTGTTACATCGTAGCATCCAGCCTACGTACTTCCATGAAGTATGCAAAACTGTTCACTGAGTGAATAGAAGACTCCATCTGATTCTCTCCAGGGTAACCCTTACTTGAAATGCACTTTACTTAGTGACAGTCTATGGACAAGAGAAGTTTCTAAGCCTTCTGTCTTTAAAAGATATAGCATCAAGTCCTGTCAAAATAAGTCAGGGAGGTCTGCACCGCATGGTGGGGCGGGTCTGCCAGTCTGAAGAAGTGTATTATAGACAAAGACATGCGGAGGGGACACGAGTGGGCAGCTACTCAGACCTTACCTTGCTGTGAGGGTCAGCAAACATTCGGGTGAAAATCTCACACAATCGTTTCAATTCTACTCGACTAGGAAATAAAATACAATAAATTTAGTATTTAACTGAGTCAACACTGAAAGTAGTTACAGCTTCTCTAAATCCTTTTATTTCATTTAACATGCTTTATATAATTTTTATATAACACCTTTTTTTCTGCAAATGAATTATCTAAATTTTAATTTGACGGAATTACACAGGAGTAAGAAATCACACCAATTCTGGTCTTGTTCTAAAATGAAACTGAATCTCAGAGTGTGATCACACAAGTTTACACACATGCACATATGGCAAAGCCAGGCGCCAAACCCTGCTCACTTCATTTCCACATGCGACAGATGAAAGGTAGTCAGATCAATTCAGAAAAGCATGTGCAGCGGGCTCAGACAGACCTGGATTTTAGTCTCAGTTCTGTTATAGTCAAAGTACTGTGATATCTTTATACCCACTTCAGTACAACAAACCGCTGCTGACTATCTCCTGCTACGCGGCCTAAGTCAAGCACACACTCGCCTCCCATCAGTGCCCCTGTGACATTTCTCACCTGGAACTGCACTACCGAATCAAGTCTGTACTTCAAAGTTTGATTAGAAAGTGTTATCTTCTCCCCCATCCCATCCCCTCTCAGATCCAATGGTCCTTTTAACATCACTAACCGTGAAATCCAGACCAGGCCAGTGCTAATCAATAGACTGCTAGAGCTTATTCAACGGATACTTGGAGAACACTAAGAACCAAGAAACCGGGGCCACCAGAATTAAGGAGATTATTGGAGAATGATGACATTTCATCGTTTTTGTTTTCTGACAGATCACCAGACCACCAGAGGTGACCTACACTTCAGCAGGCACGGGCATGCAGAGAGTGGAATGAATAAAGGGGGGCAGGGAGTTAAGGTGGCAGGAAGGAATACGGCGGGGGTCGCACTGACTACAGATGGCTATGCTTGAAGCCCAGTGACTCCTCAGTCCATGCTCACAGAGTTTCGCAGAGCCATCCATGAAAAGAAACACTTTACTAGTCTCACAGTATTGCTTAAAAAAATTATTGAAAGAATGTAACAGACTATACTTCAAACATCTCTGGAACCATGAGATTCACCCTGCAATCAATGACATATCAGTACTGTCATGGTTTTATAAGAAGCATTTATTTCTTCTTAGATATAAAATAATGGTGTGTCAATGGTACCTTAGATCTGATGAAATATGGTATAAATATGTGTTTTTGGTGTATGTAATACATGCTTATTTTAGAAAATCAATGAAATACAGAAACAAAAACAAAAGCAAACATCACCAATTCTAGAGACAATGCTGGGCTACCCGGGAGTCTCCATCTGAGTGTCTCTACTCTGCATATTTATAAAAACCACACATATGCATGTGCACATGCAAACATTTTAGACTGAGACTGGCATCATTTTATCCATGCCTCTGAAGTGTAAATAAACTGTACTAACTTCAGAGTTGTTTTTATGTTTTACCTAAACCACAAACTGTTCTGAGTTTTCTCAAAACACCTAGTAGACAAATCTGAGCCATGCTGAACCAAATGTGTCCTAGACCTAATAAGCTATGGAGTGTCTGCCCGATATTTAAGTTCCCTGGAAGGCAAAGACCACACCTGAGCCATCCTGGCCTCTCTCGGGCCTGCCCCATAAATGACCACGCATCCGTGTCAGGCCCTCATGCGTGCAACACGGGGCTCCGTCTGAAGGAACCTGGCCTCCCGTCCTACCTCAGCGTCCTCTGGCTCTTGAGCAGGTTCTGCAGACCCAGAAGCCCTTCCTTCCTCTCGGACCAGTTGGAGCTGGCGCAGTGGTTGAGCACCTCGGCCACGTCCTCAGTCTGGCGTAGGTAGTGGGGGACGCCGCCGTTCCGGGAGCCGTAGGAGCGCTCGGAGCAGACGCTGGAGGCGTCGCTGTTGGCGTCGTCGTCAGAGTACATGCCGTAGGGTTCGTATCGCCTCCTCACGGGCTTCTTCTGCCAGACCCGAGGGGGTTGGGGAGAGACGGAGAGGCAACATGAGCCTTAGCACACACAGCCAACAGCGAGGAGCTACACGCAGACACACACACACACGGGCACATGCACCCACACCTTCCCTCCGCTCACAGGTTAGGGGAAGGATGCGCCCACACCTTCCCTCCGCTCACAGGTTAGGGGAAGGATGCGCCCACACCTTCCCTCCGCTCACAGGTTAGGGGAAGGATGCGCCCACACCTTCCCTCCGCTCACAGGTTTGGGGAAGGATGCGCCCACACCTTCCCTCCGCTCACAGGTTAGGGGAAGGATGCGCCCACACCTTCCCTCCGCTCACAGGTTAGGGGAAGGATGCGCCCACACCTTCCCTCCGCTCACAGGTTAGGGGAAGGATGCGCCCACACCTCCCCTCCGCTCACAGGTTAGGGAAAGGATGCGCCCACACCTCCCCTCCGCTCACAGGTTAGGGGAAGGATGCGCCCACACCTCCCCTCCGCTCACAGGTTAGGGGAAGGATGCGCCCACACCTCCCCTCCGCTCACAGGTTAGGGGAAGGATGCGCCCACACCTCCCCTCCGCTCACAGGTTAGGGAAAGGATGCGCCCACACCTCCCCTCCGCTCACAGGTTAGGGGAAGGATGCGCCCACACCTCCCCTCCGCTCACAGGTTAGGGGAAGGATGCGCCCACACCTCCCCTCCGCTCACAGGTTAGGGGAAGGATGCGCCCACACCTCCCCTCCGCTCACAGGTTAGGGGAAGGATGCGCCCACACCTCCCCTCCGCTCACAGGTTAGGGGAAGGATGCGCCCACACCTCCCCTCCGCTCACAGGTTAGGGGAAGGATGCGCCCACACCTCCCCTCCGCTCACAGGTTAGGGGAAGGATGCGCCCACACCTCCCCTCCGCTCACAGGTTAGGGGAAGGATGCGCCCACACCTCCCCTCCGCTCACAGGTTAGGGGAAGGATGCGCCCACACCTCCCCTCCGCTCACAGGTTAGGGGAAGGATGCGCCCACACCTCCCCTCCGCTCACAGGTTAGGGGAAGGATGCGCCCACACCTCCCCTCCGCTCACAGGTTAGGGGAAGGATGCGCCCACACCTCCCCTCCGCTCACAGGTTAGGGGAAGGATGCGCCCACACCTCCCCTCCGCTCACAGGTTAGGGGAAGGGAAGCCCGACAGCAGAGCGCCGGTGGGCAGAGGGAGGAGTAAGCGGAGCAGCCCGCGGCAGACGGAGGGGCGCCATCTTCAGTGCGGTCTACTGCCCCGCCATGCGACTTCAGAAAGCCCCTCGCCTTTCCGCTCCAGGGTCCCCGGCCCTGAGATAACACTGATTACCCTTCTCACAGGCCTGTGGTCAGCACTGGGTGGGATCATACGCTGAACAGCCTAGCTCAGCACCTGACACACGGAGTCTGTGAACCCACCACCCTTTCCCAACCAAAAGCAACCTGCCTTCAGCATGGTCTGTAAGTAAATTTGTTTGAAAATTCACACTCCCTTAAGAGCATCTGACACTGCAATGTCAGTGGTGTAGTGTCCTATATAAAAGGATTCTCAAAAGACCTACGCCATTTTTATTAAGGACTTATAGTTTTACAACACTAATAGGCCTCCTTAGACTAGAACACCCACTTCGTATCTCTTATCCTGAATATAAAACTATTAAGTTAAATCCCAAAATTATATAGCAAGAACTATATAAAACAGATAAAATTTAATTTCTCTAAGAGAAAAACAAGTAGCTACGGGCTTAAACTGCACCAATGTAACTTCCTAGGAATGTGGCTTGTACACACATCACAACTTACCTGGGACAGCTCTGCCTTCCACCTTCTGTCCCCACATAATTATTAACAGCACCCTCCCTCACCCTCAAAAGTATCCTTGTTAGGATGATAATTATACTGCCATCTCACTTATACATGAACTAGATTCCTAAGATAAGAAAAAGCTGAATGTACCCACTCATGAAATAATAACAGTGTAACAGACAAAACCTAGGTTAGTAAAATGAAACACTAGTAGGATAAGGGGCAGAACTTGATGTTGGAAAACAATGCTCAAACACATGTGAGACATGACCAGTTCTATCACTAGCAGAAGCACCACTAGTTTCCACAAAATCACAGTTCAGAACAGAAACTTCTACACTAGGCTACATTTTTGTTGCTTTTACCAGCTCCTAAAGGAAATATACTCACAACAGAAAAAAAAAAAAGTTATAAAACAAAAGTTAAAGCACTGGTACCTTGCTCCTGGAGTCTCCTAACAGCTGTAGGCAGGAAAATATTGAAGGATGGGGAAAAAGCATAGAGAATTATGTCAGAAGCATATGTGGGGATTGTTCTTGCAACAAAAGTGTACAGCAAAACATATATTAGCAAACCAAAAATACAGGTTAGCAAGCAATTCATATCAAGCGAATAACAAAGAATGCTTTCACAATGGCATTTCCTAACCCTCTTGCACCTCTCTTACAAGACCTTGCAGTATCTGCTCTAATTCTTGGCTGAAACTCTCCCCACACCACTGAGGCACATCCCAAATGTCACTAGTAACTCTGTCGTCTGCTCCTAGGAGAGCTTCTGTCCCGGGACTTCCTTTCTGTGAGGCAGGGACTGAGTACCGTCCTGGCATTGGCTTCTGAAGCAGGTCATGGGGAGAGACCAAGAGGTCTGAACAAAATGTCGTAAGGGCAGCGGGAGTGTAAGGAGAGCCAGAGCTCGAGAAAAGCCCAAGCCAGGCAAAGGCAAAGCCCAGACTCTGGAGTCCCGCTCTGCCACGGCGCTTTGTGCCGTGTCCCTGGGGCAGATCTTCAAGGACCGAGGGGACACGCCCTCCCCCTCCCCCCACCCCACCCGAAGTGCTGTCTCACCAAGCACTTTGCGCATCCATCACTTCTCACCCCACTGGTTCCCACTTCTTACAGTCCCAGAACAGGTAAGAAACAAATTTCAAATGCTGCAACTTGGAAGGAAAATCGCTACATCAGCTCTCCAACTTGTGACTCTTGAAGTCCTACTTAAAGCAATTATCCTGAACTCCAGTACCTGCTAGGCCAGCCCTCATCAGGAAAGCACTAGGAGACTGGAAGACTGCTCGCTCACAGATGTTTGTCAGAGAAACCTGGCTGAGCAAGAGTAAATGAGGGCGGGCCAGGAGGGATGTGAGGTAGAATCCCTGAAGCCACACACTGTAAAGTTTTGGTCCAATGAAAACAGGGCTGGATTTAAAATCTCAGGGTCTGAAAGCAGGGTATTATAATGTTTTTCTCTTAAAACAGTACAAGTAAGACCAGAGACCAGACAGTTCTCTAAAGCATGTCTATTTTTAAATGCTGAGCACATAAACCAGAAGAAACAAGAGGCTGTGTTACTACCAGCAGAAATGCATCTTTAAAAGGCAATTTGACCACAAGCTGATTCTACTGAGGAACTTTTTGCTAGAAGCACAAATTTAAGGACCTCTAATCACTTTATATTGCTATTTTAAATATTACATTATAACAATGAAAGAAAAAAACATACTCCACTAGTGCTTCATATCCTCAGAGTTCATCTTAAAATCTGGGAATGTTTCTGTAAATAATGACTTAAGGACTCATTCAAACAAGTAAACATAAAAATCATATGGAACAACTAGTGATGGTAATGGAATAAATGCAAGAGTTTCAAACCATAAAGTCTGTGACCTACTATTATACAATGATGTGCTTAGGCTATGCCATCAAAGCCTGTAAAGCAAGAGAAGCAAAAGAAGGGGCAAAAAGGAAATGCTGAAAAAAAAAATGGATAAAAAAGGAAAGGAAGAAGCCCAATGACATCAGACAAGCCTGATGCCATCCGAACCTCTTTGTTACCGAGGAGCAGAGGAGACACTCTTGATGCTAATGCGTCTCGAAAGGCCAGTCTTCACTTACGTACAGAGTCAAAAGTTTACGGAGAAAGGAATAATAATCTAAATTTACCCAATATTTACATGATCTAAAAGAGTATCAAAGAAGATTTAGTGACCTGCTTTGGAGGCCACTTCCTGTGAAGACAGAGAAAAATATAGGTCGGTAATTCAGAGACTCACACACATGGGGCCTCTTACCAAAGCGTCAGCGACAGCAGCTTCCAGATCTGTGCTGGTGCTCAGAACCCGCATGGCGTTCACAGAACCAGGAATCCTTCCTGCCTGGCCGAGCCCAAAGCGGTCTAGGTCAAAAACAAAAGCAAAAATACATGTCATTTTAATACAACTGTTTTCATTTCTTTGCAATGGCCCTTGCCTCATCCCACTTACTGGAGAGAAACACTGAAAAATCTCTAGCCAGTTTTTACTGCAGTTGGCTTGTAGTTTCAACTACACTTGACTTGTTTACCAGTGGCAGAGGTTACAATGTTCACATTTAATATGGTTGCATCCTGACAACTGAACTGGTTCTTTAACGATATTTTATTTTGGAAAAGTGCTGAGATATAGGCTGGAGAAGGGAACTTATCACAGAAGAGAACTGGGCCATGAGTTGAGCCTTTTCATTTATTTAGCATTCTCTCTAGAGGCAAAAGAAGCCCTGATATTTGGTCAAACTAATTAGAAAGCTCCATGGTTTGATAAATGAGTTTTAATGCAATATGTAATAAACAGACAAAATTTAAATCCAATGTATTACACTGATCTCTGTGCATATTTTCATTACTGTCACTACTGTTTGTTATTAAGCTCAATTAATTTTAGGTATCTGTTCATCATGATGCCTATGTCACCAAAGGTTATTTAAAAATCAATGTATTAAAATTCTTTAATCTTCACCACAAAAAGCTAGTATCTTCACTGAAAAACATTAATCATTCAGATCATATAAATTTTTTCTGAAGTCCCTCAAAGGATTTTTAAATGATAATCTTTATATGTGTGAACAAAATGGACAGAATGCAAAAAAATTTTCCAATTTTAGTGGTTCAAATAACTACTATAAGCTTATTAACGATCATGGACAATAAAGACTTTTTTCTTTGGCCATTCCATGAGGCTTGCAGGATCTTAGTTCCCTGACCAGAGACGGAATCCGCGCCTCTGGCAGTGAAAGCACTGAATTCAAAAAGACTAACTTTTAGAAATCCCTTTCCATGAACTGTCCAGCCTTCCTTCAGAAAGGCTGAGGTTAAAACAATGCAGGAGAAAGTCCGTGTAAATTATACTGGTAGTTTCACTCCAGGACAGGGCTTTATTGGGACACAGATTACTCGGAACTCACTGCCCTTGTGAGTCCCTGCTGCTCACCGCTGTGGCAGCTCGAGATAAAGCAATCCAGTAAATGACTCTCATTTAAAATGTTAAAATTAAAACCACTTTAACAAATAAGACACTGTTTGGACAAGGAAAATCTCCTTATGTGGTATACTCTAATAATGAAGGCATTTGGTGGGGGAGGGAAAAAGAAAGCTAAAGTCTGTCTTACATAATTGATCTTTCCTATAAAATGATATATTTCAAATTTGGATAGGTAACAAGACATCAGCTACAAACTGGTGAACTTTAAAAGTGATGTGTTATTTAGCTTTTTAAAATTGTCAGTTTTGAAACATATCTTCCACTGCCACAGAATGGGAGAAAAAATTTAACTACTAATCAAAAGTTATACAATTATGAATTTTTATAGAGAAACAAAAATTGCATGTTATACTATCCCCTTTTTTAATGCATTTGTTGATTATACTGAATTTCATCATTATGTGTATGTTTAAAAGGTGATAACATGCTGTATAAAATCAATTATATCTCTCTCTATAATATAAATTATCAGTTCAAATATGAAACAATTAGAAATTTGAGATTTATGATGCAGTTTTATAAATGATCATTGTTCAAGTCTTTCTCATTTTTCATTAAAAAAGGGTAGATAGTAAGGGATTTATGAGTAACAGAATGAAAGTAATCCAGTTATAAGCCATTTAGAAATTACCCAGCATAAACTTAAATAAAACATAATCTTAATTTAAAAAAAATAGATCTCATGCCAGCAAATCTTGCTCCAGGGATAACAGTGATTCTTCAGACACAAAATTAAAACCATAAGAACAAAGCAATTATTCTGCGCTTCTCAGACGTGTATAGCTTCGCCACACACAGTGACTGCAGATACTTATCATAGATAACTCAATTTCAAATTTTAAGGGGAAACGTTTGCAGTGAAGAAAATTTATAAGCCTTTTGTTTCCACCAGACCAAAATCTGCTCTATGTTCTCTCTGGTACCATTCAGTTTCTAAGAGATGGATACGTACAGCTGCCCTCAGCCTGGCCCATAATCTTTAGGGGAATGTCCTAATCAAAGAACACATAATAAAATGCATAGGTGGGTCATTTAGAGAAAAAACAGCGACACTGATCCAGGAAACTGGTCACAGGTGTCATCATCAACAGTCAGATTTAACAGATGATGCCTCGTACTCAGCTGATAAAACTGTAGTCATGAGGGATTATTAGTTTATCTAAATGATGCCAGTTAAATCTGGCAGACTGAACATTACTGAATGCTTACTTTCTGCCCTAATGGCCAACCAGGGCATTTTGGGTGTTGTTAAAATGGGGTTGAGGCAGTGTTTCGGGTCTGCAGGCTGCAAAGGCTACCTTTGGCCTGACCTGATTATGGCAATCGTGACTTGTTTTTCCATTAAAGTTTCAGGGAAATCCACTTCCTTCCATCCATGTGGAAAGGGGTATGGTATAATTGAACATCTGGTCACTAAATAGTACCTCCAAGTAATGATAACTGGACAGGAATAACTGGCATTCATAGACACCACTTTACTGGGAGCAAAGACTGGGAGAGGAAAGCCTCCGTTGGATGAGGTCCATACCCCAATTCTCCTAGGGACCCCTCAGGACACCTATCTGGGGCTGATGCTTTCCTGCAGGAGGGCCTGAAAGCAAGGGCGGAAGTGCTTCCCCATCCTTCTGTTTTAACATAAATATGAACACTAGATAAATGATGTTGTCAAACAAACTACAAAGCATCTATAGCCTATTAACAGAACCATAAACATTCAACAACTTAAAAAAAACAGAAGCACACTGCGGGGGGAAAATATGAGGTGTATCCATGCCAACTGCTAGCGAATAAGATGGGAACAGTGTGACAATGAGTGTGAGACAGGCATGCATGAACACGTGTTCACCTGACGGCCCCACAGAGTCAGCCGTGGCGAGAGCACTAGTGGACCTGGAATGACGTCGAGAGGCTGCAGGTAAAAGGAACGGCAACACCCACAGGGTTAACACACAAGAATCTCAGACAGCAGCGGCCGCAGGCCGGAGGGCACGGGGCTGCTCCCGACACAGCCGTGCGTCCTCATGGAAGGAGATGGTGTTGGAGATGAATGGACAGCGAGCGCCGAGCCCCAGCCTGTGCACCCAGCGGCCCGCGCCTCCGGTGCACGTCCACGACAGGAGCCACCGTGGCCGCCACGGACTGTGCACGGGCAGGCCGTCCGGGGCCACAGCAGAGGGCGGCAGCAGCCTGGGTTACCCCTCTCGTCAGGAGGCGATGCACAGGCAACCATGCACCACGTACAGAAGCGGAGTCCACAATGTCCTCTCAACAGAAACAGCGTGAGGCCACAAGAGGGGGCTTGGACACAGAGAGCGGGCAGACAACAGCTCCTACTGCACTGCTCGGGGGCTAGGTTCATGTCCTGCAGCAAACCACCACGGAGAAGAATACGAGCAGAAGGCTGCGCAGAAGTGTGTGGCTGAGCCACTCTGCTCTATAGCGGTAATCAGCACAGCCCTGTACACCAACCACACGTCATTAAAATAAGAAAAAAAAAATGTGTTCACAGAACAAAAATCGATTGATTTAAAAAGGGGGGGTGGTCAACAACTATAATTCCATTTTCCCTAGTCAACATGTTTGTCGTTCTGCTGCACAAACAGCCTACTTACTGACTACCTCATTGTTTAACTGCTGGAAAGCTAGCGCAGCACGTTTAACAGCCGTCCCCGGAGAGGCGGCTCGGGGCTCCGGCTGCGAGCGCCGGCCCTGTGACACAGGCAGGGTGGGGGAAAAGGGGCCTCGGGCGACGCACTGAAGCTCTCTGCGCCTTAGTCTTCGCCCGTGAAACAGCGGTGCCCCGCTCTTAGGAGCTAAGAGAATTAGGAGAGCGTATGCCTCGGACACCTGGAACAGTGCCAGGCACAGAATAAACCGTGGAGGCAACAGAAGCACAGTGCCGGTGGTCACAGCGACGCTCAAGCATGAACTCTACACTCAGACGCCAGGTATTATTTTACTAGCAAGTACTCATAATAATCTCATCAAAACATCAATCTGAGAAAATATATACCAAACTCCAGACTCGTGCGGAGGGAACAACTTTTAGAAACGGTTATGAAATACAGGCTTGGGTCCAAACCTGAATTTATTGACCAGAGTACCACACAACATGAGGCTTTTTCTTACCGGGGGGGGGGGGGGGGGGGGGGGGCACGCGGGGAAGTAACGTGCTTCTAATCATTACTCGGAAAGAACACAGTGACGGCAACACAGCAAGTTCACAGGTTTCCCGGAGCGACCCTAAGCCGTGCTGCCTTCCGCCTGCACAACCGGAGCCCAGAGTCCTCGAGTGCTAACACAGTTACTCGTGGAGGGGTAAAGCCTCATACTCTTCAATGTGACTATTTATCTAAGCTCATGTCACTTTATGAAACATGCATATCTGCAGGATAAGAGACACTAAACAGAAAAGGTCACCTGGTCAGTGAGGATAAATTTTTATCAGCATGCAAAATAAAAAGAAAATTCCTAATTTCTCAAGATGCACAAAAATAAGTCAGCAAGCTCTAGAACAGATATTACCAAATAATCACTTTGCTTATTTAAGGAAACCGACAAAATATTGTGTAAGACTGAAACAAACTACTCATTTCTTAAACAAGCACAACGGTATCATATCCTGATAGTTTAAACTGGAAACAGTGTTTAAGCAACACCTGAGCTGAAGGTTCCTTAAGAAGCTGTCCTTTGGTTCTGTTTCAACAGAATATTCTACGAAAATACGTCACATAATGAGTTCTTTGTCACGTACTCAAGTGAACATCCCACAATGGAATCCAAGCGGACCCACTTACGTAAAAGTCTCACCGACAGCAGAGTCCTAGAGCCCTTAATCTTCCCAGAAGTCACCGTGACCATTTAAAGATATGTTCAGACCATTAAAATGGTCCAAAACAAGTTTTTAAGAAAAATACAGGATGTCCTAATGGTCCAGTGGTTAAGAATTCACCTCCAATGCAGGTGACACAGGCTTGATCCCCGGTCCAGGAAGATTTCACACGCCACAGGGGCCCGTGCGCAGTAACCGCTGAGCCTACACTCCGGGGCCCACGCTCTGCAACAAGAGGAGCCACTGCAATGAGAAGCCCATGCACCGCAGCTAGAGTAACCGCCACTCACTGCAGCCAGAGGCGGCCTGCACAGCCACAAACTACAAAAAGCCACAAAACCTACCAACTCAAACCCAACATGCAGTCACCAAAACAGTTACTGCTGTTCTTCTTCTAAACAGTGAAGGTTGGCTGAGGGGCACTCACACAAAATCTCACTGATTTACCAAGGGGCACAAATGAGTATCAAGTGAACGAGACCAGGAGGGAAACACCACGCCCTCTAAAGGGCACAGGAGGTTCTCTAAGCGGCAGCAACCTCTGGGGCTCCTACATGGACTCTCGGGTCCTGTGGGCAAGCCTGGAAACAGGCCAAGCAGGGTGCTTTCTCCGAACCTGGGCCTGCGGAGGCCTCAGAAAGCATTCAGCTCACTCTGGAGGAACAAGAGAAAGACGCCTCAGATGAGGCGGAGGAACAGCCAGGCTCTGAAGTCAGAGGGTGGGGTCTGGAGAGCGTGGACTCTTCTCCCAGCCTCGGCTGCGTCATCTGAGAAGAGGGGCGAGGATGTCTGTCCCAGAGGCTGAACAGGACCCACGAGGGCCACGTGCCCTCTGACTGCTCGGAATGGCGCAGGGACACATATGCACCGCTGCCACTCTGAGCCGGACAGAAATTTTATAAACAGGTTTAAACTCCCCCTCCAAAAGAGGGATGCTCTAAAACCTGAGCTGGCAAGATGCTAACTCCTGCCCTGCCCACACAGAAGAGCACGCTGGCGGTGAGAGACGATCGGAAAGAGAAGCATCCACAGCCACATCTCCAGCTGTGGTAGCAGCAATGACACACATCACAACCCGCGCTGTCACCAGAAAACACCCGAGTGGAAACGAGGAGCTGGGTCCCTCAGTCCCTCGGAGTCCAGTGAGGACCTCAAGAGTCCAGCACATCTTGCCTGGGCCACAGGCCACACGCTAGGGTCACAAAGGCTGCTTCCATGGGCAGTAACAAACACTGCAGTGTCTGCGTGAAATAAAAACACGGAACTGCCTCTGAGAGACAAAATGACCAATGAACAGACCTAACTGTTCAATTCTAAGTTATTCGGAAGGGCAAATCATGAACAAGGATGCACACACAGCCATAATTTGAAGCGAAAAATAACCAGTTCTTACAGAAAAAAGTCATCATTGTTGCTCTGACTGTTTTGAGGATTCTGGGCTAACGCTTCAGACTGCTGTGCAGTAGCTGGGAGGGTCCAGGCAGCTCGCGCCCTCCTCAGGGCCCCGTGCTCGGCAAGTGGGACACTCACACGAGCGTCTCCTCACCGAGTCTGGTGCGCTGTCTAGAGGGCCCTGCGTCTGTCTTCCTGAGGACTCCACAAAGTACAGCGTTCACAAAGGAATAGATTTAGATTTTAATTACTGATTTCGGGGAAAAAAAGATCGGGGAAGAAGTATATGATATCAGAAGGAGACAGACGAAAATATTAAGACAATGCTTTTCCTCCAGCATCCATCTTCCACAGTGACATTTTTCTATGAAAGACCTGCCTCATTATTAGAGTCAAAATAACAGACTGTTGAAGTTCACGGCTCCAGATAATAACTTACGGCCTTGACCCAAGCATTGTACGATGTTTTGACCTTGCTTGCCAAGCTCATCATGACAAAAACAGACAACTGCACTTTACTAAATATGCCAAACACCTAGAACACAACTACTGAAGAATACAAAACATTTCTTTTTTGTGAAAATATGTGTGGATAGTGCAAAGTGAAAAGGTATATGTCCATTTTAGAGAAAGGCAGGATTATTAAAACTAAATGGAAAAAGTAAATTCAGTATCTATAAAGGATACATGTTTCTCTTTTTATCTTATTTTTCCTGAATACTAGAAATTGTTAAAATATAAATTCTGGCTATAAGAAAAACTAAATGGGGGTGTGTCAGACAGCTCCAACTGGCACCCAACTGGTGATCAGAAGTAAGTACTTATAATGTACCATGGCCACCAAATACTGTGATTTTTTTTTTGTCCTCAGGTGGCAGTGGGTCACAAACATTAAAGGGCCTGTGGAGCCCAGGAAAAAGGAAAATTTCTTAATAGTTAACAGTGAACATCGAGGTGCGCTATACATACACCTTGTCAGTTTATCCAAATTTGTAGACTGCTCTAAAGAAAGTTTTCAAAGGACTCATTCAACAGAAGGACAGCTGATATTCATGCTGCTTTTCTCATTAACGTTCCTACCCCCAAAGTGAACATGTTTAGCTTCCTAAATGTCATCATGATTTTACTTTTTGTCCTTCTTTGAAGTGACTTACACGTGGACTGATGCCTTGTAAGATGAAAAACAAGTTGTAGAAATTCAACGATTGCGGATATGCTCTGAACTCACTCAAGTCTGAAGCCCAGTGACCTCTGGCTGAGCTTCCCCTCCCACTGGCCATGACCTCACAGGTGGGCTCGCCCAGGAGCCAGTGGTCCAAGTGACAACGGTACAGAGGGAGGCGGTGCTTTTTCCCTCTGACAAATAAAACCTGGGGAAGCCAAAACCTGAGCATGCAGAGGGGTGCCAGGAAGTGGGGCTTGGGAAGAGGGTGCAGAGCAGATGCTCCCGGGGCGGTGGTGCAGGGACAGAGGCCGGCGGTTGGGGCGCTCGGGGTGCCCGGCCGGCGGGTACTCACCGAGCGGCGTGAAGCCCCGAGCAGGGCTCGTATCCCGGCTGCTCTCACGGCTGGCATCGCGGCTGCACCCCTGACTCGTGCTGGGTCGAGGGATACGGCTGCTCCGTGCTAGCGTGCAGCATGAGGGGTTTCAGAGAAGGGGAACAAGTTTAATGAAGACAGAGAAACTCACACACGGTCAGTCACATTCCGTTTGCATGATCACTGACAACAGGAGGGGTGCAGGCAAAACTCAACTTGCTCACTGCCTCACAAAGCTGTGAACTGCAGCAGGAAGACGAAATGGCATCTGAACGTGAGAAAGCCAAAGAAAGCTCTCCAAAGAGCAAACTGGGATCAGAAAATACAAGGTCAAAAGTCTTCCAGAGATGATCAGCTTTTATGGCTTTAACTTCACAAGAGAATAATAAAAGGCCATAGTCATTTTCATATGCAATGGGTCCTTAGAAAGATAATTTAATTTGGATTAAAAAACAGAATAAAGGCTCTGGTCACTGAGCTTCATGAACTTACCTAATTAAGAGGGTTCACTGCTCCCAGCCCAGCCGTCTTTACGAACAGAAGTCACAAGGACTGAGCCAGCTACAGAACCTGCCTACTTCAAACCAGTGTGGAGATGCTGCAAACATAATTACTAAACCAACAAACATAAAGAATCGGGACCGATAATCTTCATTCACTGGCCTTGACATTAATTCCTGCTTTTTCTACAGGAAGCCAGAAAGATCTGCCTGTCATCCCTCCCCAAGTGCCTTCACTTAGCCAGCCTCACACCTAAGTCTATGGCAAGTGGCCTGATAACTTCAATACTCATGCTTCAGATCAGCCACTGGCCTGAGAAGAACTAATGCATTCTCATGTCACAGGATACTGGGAAGACAGAATCCAAGAAGCCTAAGGGCTAATATAACTTGGCCATAAATCTCAGAAAAGATCACGATGCCCTTATTTTTAAGTGTACTTTGAGAAAACAGGAAGGCAGTACTGGGGAAATACTCAGAAGCAACTTTGAAAACTGAAAGCGTGTAGCCACTGATAGCCGATGGGAACAATAAACACTGCCACCTTGAGAGGATCTACCAGCTCTGGACTAGACAGAGATGACTTTGTCAGAAATATAAGGAAAAAATAACCTTGATTCACTGACGTGAAAATAACAAAGTTTTTACTACATTACAATGAGCATAGCCTATGACTTCAGAGCAAAGGCAGATTTATGGCTAAACTACAACAAGAATGTCTTACAAACCAGAATCATAAAACTGCCTGACTTAGAAGAACGTGGAAGTGAAAAGCCAAATCAACTTCCTATTGTGGTCTCTGCTCAGTGCCAGAGGTGAAGACCCTAAAGGTACCTAAGTGATATGCAAAAGCTCGGGTCTGTGCTGGTGAGCAAGGCAAGGTCAAGTGCAGGATGCAAGTTGAGCTGTCAGCCAAAACAGGGCTTCATCTGGGATTCTGCAGGAGTTCATTTGGGATTCACCAGTCTTCCCTGGTGGCTTAGTCAGTAAAGAGTCTGCCCACAATGTGGGAGACCCAGGTTCAATCCCTGGGTCGGGAAGATCCCCTGGAGAAGGAAATGGCAACTCACTCCAGTATTCTTGCCTGGAGAACTCCATGGACAGAGAAGCCTGGGGGGCTACAGTCCATGGGGTCACAAAGAGTCAGACATGACTGAGTACTAACACTTTCACTTCCAGGAATTCCTAACCTTGTCTTCATTTTGCTAGTGATGTGGAAGCACTGGGTTTTCACTCAAAGCAGCATTAACAATTGAATCAGCAATTTTTGATCACATTCTGAAGAACTTTTACAATAAGAGCCAAGGCAACAGATGCTAAATGCTTAATTTAGCACCTTAAAAATCTAGGGAGTATCTACTGACCCCTTCAATAAATGACAAGTTGCTTAAAATCTGGAAGTCATACTGCTTACCCTTAAGGGACCAATCCCACTTCCAATGCATAAATGCTCCCTCTAGCTCCACGCTAACTCGCTGATCCAGCCACTCAGCCTCTCTGGGCCTCAGCCTCTGCTTAGGAAGGTGAGATTCCCCACCGTTATAAATGAAAAGGGTACTGTGAGATAGGTATGTAACATAGGTACTTCTGCATTCCTTGCTGAAAGGCATATGTGAAACTCTAGTACCATTCCACTGCCTACTCCAACACAATCAAGAAGTAGTAAGAGCAGTTCTGATAGTTTTTCACATATGCACATGCTCAATTGACCATTTTCTTCTAGTTTCTGCCTGATCACATCTGAATTTTTACACAGCTCTCACGCCCTTAACACATATCCTACAGCAACGGGGTATCTCTGCTCTCTCCGTGGGCTGAACTTGCTTTGCGAAGACAGTGAAGAGCATGAGAAAGAATAAGCAGACGTGATCTGAAATAACAGCAACCATAATTCTCAACAAGGTTTACTGTCCTGGTGTTTGACCCAGAGAAGGGTCTTTCACCCATTTGTGCTGACTGGCTCCTTTAACATATGGCAATAGTAGTATGGAAAAAATGCTGCTTACAATTCTGTTCACAATTTTGCCCCAAGCTTCATTAAAGTACACTTAGTGATGAAACCAACAGTTCTAATATTGGATAATTAAACACAAGAGGAAAAAAATTCCACTTTAAACCACTCCCAAAGACTAATCTACAAGGAGGATTTAAAAAGTATATAAAAGCTTTTCAGACTATAATTAATTCAGATTATAATTAATTAGGTGGTCAAAGCTAAAACACAATATTCTGCAGCACTCTGTCTTTTCATTGAGTGCCCACACTGAACATTCTACATTAAGAATCTGTTATGGAAAAGGTATGACAGAGGGGGAAGAGACAATAAAAACACATGTGCTGCCTGAACTTTCTAAAAGCACCATTCTTAGGGAGTCTGGAGTACTGTGCTTACAAGGAATGATGAGAACCCTGGAAAAAATACTATCTGACTAGTTTTTATTTCTTGAGCAACACTCTACTTTTATAACGTTTCAAGGGAAATCCTGACTCTTGTCTTTCAAGGTAATATCCTACAAGAACTCCTATCAAAAGCAGAAGTACCAGAAGAATAACGAAAACTAACAAAACTGAAGACAGGAAACATCTCTCTAGTCTAGACATTTTCATGTCCTGGTCTTGCACACAGTAGTCTAATCTAACAGTTAAAGCTAACTATTAATTTTAATTTTTTTCAAAATATATTTAACCGGGAAGTCCAAGAACACTTTAAACATATATCCATGGAACATCAGGGGCAGAGGGTCCAAAGTTTTTAAAGACTTTTCAAAAGATGAGTTGGACAAAGAAGGGAACCAAAAGCAAACTTCCAAAATGTAACTGTTATAGATATCAGCTATTCATGCGACCTTTTCATAAGTAGACTAAAACAATTTACACATACACTCATCTATCTCATTAATCTATGAAGCAATAGACGTCAAGAAGGAAAAACATGGCGGGGTTTGCCTCTTTAAGTTATCCAACAGGAATTACATTCTATTTTGCTTAAGAAACCTTAAATGCTTAATTTAACCTTAAATGCTTAAAAAACCTTAAATGTAGAAGAGTCCTGACATCATTTTCATCACAGATAAGAAAATTTAGTTAAAAAATATTATTTCAAACAAAAAAGCATAGATGAACCAATATAATTTGCAGACAACTAGAATCAATTCTCAATGCAAATTCCAAGCCTAGTTCAGCTATGATTAAAACTATTAACTGGTTTGAGGATTACAGAAAATATTCTTAAAAGATGTTCCTACTTTTTTTGGAATATTTAAAGTTGCTATATAATGAATCAAATGTTTATAGACACAAAGCATATACCTAGTATATATTAAATGAGAGAAGAAATGTACACTCTATTACAGAAATATGCTAATATGACACTCTTAAAATGGAATCTTTAAGTAGTAACAGAGGAAGAAGTGGAGATATACTTTACTTACATATATTTTTATAATCTGTGCATATATATCTCACAATGTGCTAATATTTACATAAAATATCTTCTTTAACCAGAATTGCATGTATGACCTCAAAGCTCCACCCAGAACTAATCCTCTTAATGAGCACCAAGGAAACAACTTTCTTCAAAATAATGTTTCAAATCAGAACTTTCTGGAAGGCAACAGGCTCCTATTTAGTTCGTGATGGATGATGTTCCAAAGGACTTCTTTTACATGCTTATGAAATGCTATCTTTTCAACTACTCACAATGCACAGTGCACAATTCACAGTTAAGACCACAGACTACCAAGCCCCAGAGTTATGTTAGATAATCAAGGTTGGATTACTTCCCAATTTCAAGAAGGCAGTAAAAATGGCATTTTTAATAAATATAAAGAGTAAAATCTCCTCCCCAAAAAGAATTTTTAAAAGTATGAAACAAATCTGGGTTGCCAAAAAACATTCTCTAATCTTAAAAAATGAATTATGGAAAAAGGACAGCTGAAACTTCACACCTAGATTTGAAATCAAATGTATTTCCCAAGCAAAACCAGATTTAAATACACCTATTTTATAGCAACAAATCTAAAATCTGGATATTCCAGTCATGGTACTTTCTCTGGCTGTAGCCACAGCATCACTAGAGCCAAAGAGCTGTTCAGCTCAAGGGCCATGTGATGTGATGATGCCCACAGAAAGTCAGCATCACATAGAGGTAACAAAACCACGGCTTGATCACAGTTCTTATTTGTTTCAGAAATGCTAGTTAAATCAAATCCTATTGATACTACTTCATAAGTAACTGCTCCTGCCTTCTTGAAGCTCAGAGCAGCCCTCAAGGACACTTGTGAGCTGGACCCTACCAGCTGTCCTGCGCCCATCTCCCACCGACCCTGTCCAACTTCCTCAGCTGCCCTCAGAGGAACCACCAGAGGCCCCAGGGTTCCCTATGCTCCCTCCTGTCTGACTGCTTCTGCACAGGCTCCTGTCTACCTGAGGATACCATTCTCCTCATCTCCCTGCCCTACCTATCGCCACCTTCTACCTCCTCGAAACACGACTTTCTCTGGGAAGTCTGCCTTGGAAGGAAATCTGGGAGCAGTGAGGCAGACAAGGGTCCTGGAACATTCCTGTTCTATAGACCAGAGGACCCGCCAGAATATCTGTCACACTGTCTCACATTTTTGCCTCTAAGACCACAAACTCTTTGAAGTCACAAGTTGAATCTATTACATTTCTCTTCTAATTATTAGGTCTCACAATGTTCCCAACACATCATAGTAAACATTCATGTAAAAGCTGTTGATGAGATAAATGAACAAAGGAGAAAGATAAGCCAACAGAACTAAAGAATACAGTGCTCTGATTTCATATTAGTAGGTTTTCACTCTTAGAAAGGAGGTGGAAATATGAGTCTGAACACAGATTTTTCACAAAATGTTACAAAAGACTTCTAACTTTTTTATTAAGAAGGTAGCATACAAGTTAGATGTTAATAGAGTAAGAGGCTGTTGAGCTGCTGAGAGTCATTCATATATACACTATTCTACACACTATTACAAAGAAACAATACTATAACATAAAATAGTTTTCCTCTTTTTGATGTTTATGTTTGAACAATAGTATGGCAAAAGTAACTACACATATTCTTTGATGGTAAGTTTCACTAGTTAGGTTAGAGAAGATCAAAATCAAAACAAATGTGTACCCTACACACGTGCATGTTCAGTCACTTCAGCTGCATCCAATTCCCTGCAACCCCATGGACTGTAGCCCGGCAGGCCCCTCTGCCCATGGGACTTTCCAGCAAGGACACTGGGCTGGGTTGCCCTGCCCACCTTCGGAGGTGGACCCTGCAGATGCCTTTGAAAGTTCACACAGGTTAACAGCCACTTCGTGCTGTGCAGTGAAAGAGTAGCAGCCTGCTCCTACCCGGGAAGAAAAATCCCTGCCCTTTCTCCCAGCTTTAAGGCTTTACAAATGATTCTCCAACATAAAGGCCTACAACGGTGCGATTCTTTCCCATGACTTTGAAGGTAAACCCCACATGTTTTTCAGTCATAATGAAAATGGAACACGCTACAATCAGTAAAAGGCACACACTGAAGTGTCTTTTTAACACAGGCAAAATGACATCCTCAGTTCAGAAACAGCTATTTCCTACAGGAAACTTACGACCAGGTTGGGAATGGTGTCCAAGACCTTTGAGAACTCTTACCTAATCCCATGCGGCTTGGACTTGTTTCTCGACTACACCCCTGACTCCTGGGGATCTTGCTTCGCTTTTCTGAAGAGGGTGTCACAGGTGGGCCTCTTGAGGAACCCCCAGCAAGGCCACTATAACCACTTCCCAACAATTTCCCTGGGGAACTGGACCGGCTGCCAGCTAAAAGTGAACCAAAACAAAACTGAATAATGAACGTAAATCAAGAAGTAAGTTAAAAGTAATTTCAGAAGTCACTTTACAAAGTAGTTTCAATCAAATGCCAGGAGAACTTTGTGTAAAATAGTTTTCTAGTTGATAATATCACTAATTTTTTTAAAAATGAAGGAGCATAAAGGAACATCCAATTATCATAAATATTTACATAGAAGAACGAATGATGGAATTCTATAGAAACGACTCCCAAATTTCTGATTCAAAAGAACAAGCTCAGGTTCAGAACAAAAAGTCTCCCTATTCTGTAACAAACTTCTACCAATAATCACAAAGGTGTTTATTAAATAATTGTTTTGCTTCCTAAAGGAGTGGATATGTTAAAAACGGCTGAAAGAATAGAAATATAACAAAAATTTCTTAAACATTAATGGAGGAAAATGGATCTAAGACTCCATTAATGTAACAAATGGAAAAGGGGGCAGAAATATGGTAAACAAAAATCACAAAGTAAAATGGTAGTAGTAATCTCAAATATATCAGTAATCATAATAAATGTGATCTGATTAAATTAATCTATTAAAAGACAGAGATTCCTGGGTTGGTTTAAAAAAACTGAAATGAAATTCAACTGTATGTTGCTTATAAGAGACAACATACATAAAACAACAAAATAGAATAAAACACTGAACTTAAAAAAGAAAATCATAATTATCCTTAAAGATATAACAATCATGAAACTTTATGCTACAAGTAACATAGCCCTGAGATATAAAATGATAAAAATACAGAGAGAAATAAAAAAGACCATAATTATTTACATACCTCTCAGAAAGACAAATACCAATAAAAGATTAACATACTAGTCATAAAATGACAGAGCAGTCAAAACCCTATATTTATGCATAAACATACCTCTCCACACACACAAATGTACAGTCCAACAAACAGATGTGTATTCTCTTGTACATTTCCATAATAACTATGTACTAAGTCTCAAAGGAAGGCTCAAAAACCCTACAAAGGTAGAAATTATGCAGAATACATGCTGTGATGTGTATGCAGTAAAACAAGAAATCAGAAACATAATATGGGGAAGGGGCAGCACGAGGGTTCCTGGAGAGATGGGGACTGTTGGAAACACACTGCTATACCTAAAACAGATAAGTAGGACCCACTGGAGAGCACAGAAAGTCTACTCAGCACTCCATACTGACCTGCATGGGAAAAGACTCTAAAAAACAGTGGATATGCACATATATATAACAGATTCCCTTTTTTGTACATCTGAAACTAACACAATGTTGTAAATCAACTATACTCCAATAAAAGTTAAAAAACAAAAACAAAAAACATAATATACAGTTAGCAATTTTTATAAATGGCTAAGTGACTGGATATTTATACAGCCATTTCTTGTAAAACAAAAGTCTTTCTTAAAGCAAGCTGCAAATCTTTAAGGATCAGACCAATATACCCAAATGGCAGTCATTAACTTAGGTAGATCATCCCCTTATGTACAGAAGGCAACAAAATTCACAAATATCAAGCACACATTAATATGCAGAAGAACAGAATGATCCAGAGAGTAAAAACCTTTGAAATAAAACTTACCTGGAAATTACACACACACGTCCCTCCATAATTCAAATGAACCACCAAGATGACCACTTACAAAAATTAGTACTTTTTAACGACTTAACTACAATTTAAGTGAAATTCATTATAAAAATTATCAATACACATTATCATGAAGAACCTATTTTACGATCTATTAATTTTGCCCCAAAAAATTGAGCACACAAACTATTCGGCTGTTTAAAGGAGAAAAGAAATCCATTTCAAACCCTAGAATTTGAACATGCAGAAAAAATGGAGAAAGATCAAGCTCATAATAAAGAGAGAAATTAATACTGTGCAAGGCACATGGGGTGAGGGAAAATGCAAAAAACAAACAAACAAACATAAAAACAGCAAGAAGAGAAATGTCTTACCACCAGCAGGATTAGCAGATCTGGATCCTGGGTTATGAGAGCAGACCAAAGGACAGGCAAAAAGTGGATTAAAAGACAATAACACAATACAGAAGTCAGCATGCAACATAGCACAAATGGGTCTGTTTACAAACACATTAGCAAAAGCTGTTTTTCCTAGGTCTTGTTCCTCCTAGTCTACTTCTGTCCTTGTTTTTATCTTATGCACATCATACTGTATTAGCATTTATGTTCTACCTGTCCATGAGACATAAAAACACTTATGAACCTACCCTGCGCCGGGCACAGTGCAGGCGGATGAGATACAGGGAAGACTGGGGGAGTGCCTGCTCTCTAGCTCTGAGCAGCCTGGCAGAAGTGATGGCATCTTTTTTTTTTCTTGGTCGCCATGCACGATCTTAGTTCCCTGGCCATGGCCCCTGCAGTGGAAGTATGGAGTCTCCACCACTGGACCACCAGGGAAGTTCCAGAAAGTGACTTACCATCTGCGTTCTCTACCACTGGACACGGTGCTCACCACAGGAAGGGCTCCATAAACATCGACAAAGTGAAAGAAACTGCCACTAACTAGTTTCATCTTAACAAGGTCTAATGCCAAATTCTTCAACACTTAAATATCAATCCTCACCTAGTTAAATCCTCAGCTATTTAAAATACGCTGTTGTCCTAAATCTAATATTAATGAAATCTACTTACTCTTAAACCTGAACTATGAATGCTAGTATATCTACATTTGTAAAATATACAGATGTGTTCATATTTACCTCCTATTAAAATAATTTTTAAAAAATATCTGATTTATATCCACAAGTTTAAGGTCCAGGCTTGATCATTTGCTGGTGTTGTCTCTTTCCCATGAGTGGAATTTGGGGAATAAAATAAAACTGAAAAGTGGGTCCCCAGTGCAAGGTGCAGTATTTTTATAAGACTGAAAAATTAAAGCTCTCTCATCCCCACTAAAGAAGGGACTTTATTTTCGTCACTTCTTAAGCAGAAGACCCAGCGAGGGGCAGAGACCAATGTCAATGAACAGCAGACATAAAAAAACGTAAAAAACACTGTTAAACTCTTTCCATGAAGGAAAATAAACTTGTGCAGCTAAAGGGTTGAGACATTTTTTAAATTCAACTGAACTCAAACATATTGACCTATTCTCTGAGTCCTGAACATTTTTTGTCACGAAAAATTTCCTTGTGATATGATTTGAGTACTGTGACCTGAGTATTATATCTACCTGTGACTCCAGGCATCACCAGAGTTCAACAGAACAACCAGAGCCAGGATATTACTCCCTAAGCAGAAGTTTCTGGACTACACCTGCACAACTTATGTTGCGCTGCATGGTGTAAGACAGTAGAAGCATGGGCTTCTGCACCAGACAAGCCTGGCTGTGTAGCCGCCCAACAGTGTGACTGACTTTGCACTTTCTTTTCAGAAAGAAAATAAAAGCTTGTTTCAGCATGAGGACTCTTAACTATCAAAGGGACCTGAGAAAGGACCTAATTCCAGGAGGAGCTGAGAGAGAGCTTCTGAGCATCTGCGAGAGGAACCAAGGGCTGGCTGCCGACCAGCCGCCCTCTACACAAGCCCGGCAGGCACCATCAGCTGACGAGTGCAGTGCTGAGGGAAGGGCAGCCTTCCTCGGGCCCAGCCGCCCTGCCCAGAAGGACCCTGACACCCGCCCCACCCCACGTGCACAGACAGGAAGCCTGTGGGGCCAGGAAGTGAGACATCAGGACTGGATCCTGGATGAGGATACGCTCTTCCCATGCATGGGTGCTCTCACGGGTGATGCTGACACTCAAGTGGCTTGACATATACAGAGAAGCAATAATGGAGGCGAGGGCAGCTGAGCGAAAGCAATAGCCCACACTGGCAGGAAGAGAGGAGCAGGGTGACGTGTTAGCACAGCGGGCTACAGGGAGCTCTGAATGGATTTACTTCTTGCCGCTGGAAAGAGACCTCAGCGTGAGCAGTCACCTCCTGGGTGCTGTTCTCAAATTACATCAGGAGTCCTCATCAACAGCAAAACGGGTCATAGCCCAGACACAGCTCAACTCAAAAGGCTTGAGGGGGAGACGAGAAACTACATTTCACTGCTTACAAAATTTAAACAGAATGTAAGTCACTTGGAAAGGAGACACAGGTAGGTACTGGAATACTCCATTGTGTAAGCTTACCCAACAAACATAAAGATCATTCAGTGTCTTAGAGTCACCAGAATGTGTTTTCCCTCTAAAGTTGACAGAAATAATACAAATTTCCACCTGCAGAATGGCTGTTGGGTAAAACTAAGAGAGCAGACAGCATAAAGTGTACTTCTTACGCTGGGACTGCGAGACCACTTTGGCGCGACTGCGGCCCCGACTGTCAGGTGTAGAGGCGACGTTGGTGGCGCTCCCGGAGCTCTGCCGTCGCGTGCGGATCCGGCCTGAAGGACACAGCAAACACAGTGCTTTCGTAATGTTTCCAGCAAGTGCGACCCACTCAGCAAAGCACCCAGACCGCAAACGAGGGGCATGGGCTGAGTCACCTCCAGGGGAGCAGGTCTCCCCGCGTGTGGTCTTGACACGCACACGTGCACCAGTCTGCATACACAGACTTTACAGACATGTCAGAAACTCCCCAGAGGTACTCACGCACCTATCAGGTGCTTCTGTTTCAACTATTTCAGCATATTCTATTTTCAGATGAGGTGACAGTCACTTGAATAATTTTTCCACAATTAAAAAAAATTCTCTCTCCTGTTTACTGTCTACATAATCTGTCATATTTCCAAAAGCAGAAAAGAATATTAGCTGTCATCTTCATAAAAATACTATGGGGAAAAAAAGAGTAAATGGAAAACAAAATAAACAAACAAAAAATCTTCTTAACCTGGCAATCAACAAAAACTACAGCACCCTGGAGAATAAATATTGTCTTGAGAAATAGCATTTAACTTCTATTTTAAAGCATGTATGCCATCAAATTTCTAGGTTACAAAAGATGAAGTTTATTAAAAGAATCAATATTAGGAGTACCTAGAGAAATGGCCTAAAAATAACGCAATGTCATAAGCATTTATGAAAAAATTTGACGTTTTATGTAAACCAATGTGTTAACACCAATTATTAAAGCATGAAACAATATAAAAATGAATTCATAAACAGTCAATCACTGATGGTAAGACTAGAATGATTAAAAATTAATTTTTATATTCATGGATTCTTTGTTTTCAAAGGGACACAAAATGCTCAACTTCCATAATTCAATCAGAATAGCAAACTGATTTTGCTATTCTGAAAACAAAACAATCTGAATTCCCACTGGCTTCTTAATGTTGTTCAAAAGCACATCTACCTTATCAACAGAGAAAATCTGCAGAAAGGCAATACAGGATAACAAATCTGAAAGCTTGAAAAAGGTTCAAGAAATGAAGGTAAGGAGCAATAAAAGAAAGCATGGCATTTAATTAAAAAAAAAAAAGAAAGCTAGAAAGAATCAATGACTTTTAAGAGGAATTGAATGAAAAGACCTAAAAATTCTACAATCTATGTTAAAATTGGTATAGATGTGTCTGGTGGAGAAAGTAAAGTCTGATGTTGTAAAGAACAATACTGCATAGGAACCTAGAATGTTAGGTCCATGAATCAAGGTAAACTGGACGCAGTAAAGCAGGACACGGCAAGAGTGAACATCAACATCTTTACGAATCAATGAGCTAACATGGATGGGAATGGGCAAATTTAACTCTCATGACCATTACATCTACTACTATGGGCAAGAATTCCTTAGAAGAAATAAGAGTAGCCCTCAGAGTCAAGAAGAGAGATCAAAACGCAGTACTTGGGTTAAACTCAAAAACGACAGAATGATGTCGGTTTGCTTCCAAGGAAAACCATTCATTGTCACGGTAATACAAGTCTATGCCCAAACCACTAATTCCAAAGAAGCTGAAGTCCAATGGTTCTATGAAGAGCTACAAGACCTTCTAGAACACACGAAAAAGATGTTCTTTTCATCATAGTGGATTGGAATAGAAAAGTAGGAAGTTCAGAGATACCTGGAGTAACATGCAAGTTTGGCCTTGGAGTACAAAATTAAGCAGGTCAAAGGCTAACAAGAGTTTTGCCAAGAAAATGCACTGGTCATAGTGAATACCATCTTCCAACAACACCAGAGGTGACTCTTCAGAGATATCAATACAGAAATCAGATTGAGTATATTCTTTGCAGTTGAATATGGAGAAGCTCTCTCTACACAGTCAGCAGAAACAAGACCTGGAGCTGACTGTGCCTCAGATCATGAGCTCCTTATTGCAAACTTCAGGCTTAAACTGAAGAAAGTAGGAAAAACCACTAGACCATGCAGGCATGACCTAAATCAAACTCCTTATGATTGTACAGCGGAAGTGACAAACAGATCCAAGGATTTAGATCTGAAAGAGTGGCTGAAGAACTATGGATGGATGTTTATAACGCTGTACAGGCAGTGGTGACCAAAACCATCCCAAAGAAAAGGAAATGCAAGAAGGCAAAGCGGTCGTCTGACCAGGCCTTACACGCAGCTGAGAAGAGAAAATAAGCAGAAAGCCAAGGAGTAAGGAGAAGATCCCCTGGAGGAGGGCATGGCAACCCACTCCAGTATTCTTGCCTGGAGAAGTCCATGGACAGAGGAGCAATGGAGGGCTACAGTCCATGGGGTCGAGAGAGTCAGACGTGACTGAGCAACCAACACAAGGGGAGGATGTATCCAACCGAATGCAGAGTTCCAGAGAACAGCAAGGAGATATAAGAAAGCCTTAACTGAACAATGCGAAGAAACAGAAGAAAATGGTAGAATCAGGAAGACTAGAGATCTCTTTAAGAAAATGAGAGCTATGAAGGGAACATTTCATGCAAAGATGGGCACAAAAAAGGACAGAAACAGAAGTAAAGAGATTAAGAAGAGGGAGGTGGCAGGAATACACAGAAGAGCTATACAAGAAAGCTCATAATAACCTGGATAGCAAAGATGGTGTGGTCACTCACCTAGAGCCAGATATTCTGCAGTGTGAAGTGGGCCTTAGGAAGCATTACCAGGAACAAAGCTAGTGGAGGTGATGCAATTCCAGTTGAGCTATTTCAAATCCTAAAAGACGATGATGTTAAAGTGCTGCACTCAACATGCCAGCAAATTTGGAAAACTCAGCAATGGCCACAGGACTGGAAAAGGTCAGTTTTCATTCCAATTCCAAAGAAAGGCAATGCCAAAGGATGTTCAAACTACTGTACAATTGCAGTCATTTCACATGTTAGCAAGGTAATGCTCAAAATTTTCAAGTTAGGCTTCAACAGTATGTGAACTGAAGAATTCCAGATGTACAACCTGGATTTAGAAAAGGCAGAGGAACCAGAGATCAAACTGCCAACATCCACTGTATTATAGAAAAAGCGAGGGAATTCTAGAAAAACACCCACTTCTGCTTTATTGACTACATGAAAGCCTTTCACTGTGTAGATCACAACAAACTGTGGAAAATTCTTAAAGACAAGGGAATACCAGATCATCTTACCTGACTTCTGAGAAACCTGTATGCAGGTCAAGAAGCAATAGTTAGAACCAGACATGGAACAACAGACTGGTTCCAAATCAGGAAAGGATCACATCAAGGCTGTATATTATCACCCTGATCATTTAATTTATATGCAGAGTACATCATGCAAAATGCTGGGCTGGATGAAGCTCAAGCTGGAATCAAGATCGCCAGGAGAAATACCAGTAACCTCAGATATGCAGATGATACCACTCTAATGGCAAAAAGCAAAGAAGAACTAAAAAGCCTCTTGATGAGGCTGAAAAGAGGAGAGAGAAAAAGCTGGCTTAAAACCCAACATTCAAATAACAAAGACCATGGTATCCAGTCCCATAGCTTCACAGAAAAAAAAATGGGGGAAAAGTGGAGGAAAGTGGCATATTTTATTTTCCTGGGTTCCAAACTCACTATGGACGGTGACTGCAGGCAGCCATGAAATTAAAACATGTTTGCTCCTTAGAAGAAAAGCTGTGACAAACCTAGACAGTGTATTAAAAAGCAGAGATCATCAATTTGCCAAAGATCCGTATAGTCAAAGCTGTGATTTTTTCAGTTGTCATGTACGGATATGAGATTTGATCCATAAAGAAGGTTGAGTGCCTAAGACCTGATGCCTTCCAAATTGTGGCGCTGGAGAAGACTCTTGAGAGTCCCTTGGACTGCAAGGAGATCAAACCAGTCAACCCTAAAGGAAATCAACCCTGAATATTCATTAGAAGGACTGATGCTGAAGCTGAAGCTCCAATACTTTGGCCACCTGATGCAAAGAGCCGACTCACTGGAAAAGACCCAAAAGACTGAAGGCAGGAGGAGAGAGGATTGACAGACGATGAGATGGTTGGATGGTATTAACTGACTCAATGGACATGAGTCTGAGTAAATTCCAGGAGACAGTGCAGGACAGGGACAGCTGGCATGCTGCAGTCCACGGGGTTGCAAAGAGTCGGACATGACTTAGTGACTGAACCCCACATCACTATGAACCACGTAATGTGAACTCAATATCCCCATAGCAGCACACCTAATTAATCCCACTTTACAGATAAGGAAACAGAGAAGCATGCGGATTAATTCCTTTATCCAGTGACCCACCAATGGTTCAGATTCCCATGCATGGATGGCTGGCCGACCTAAGAGTTGGTCTCCTAAGGAAGTCACCAAGCTATATGTAGGCAGTCACCAGAGCAAACTGAAGACGAAAAATAGCTGAATTTACTTTTTTTGTTTAAATTTTTATAAAATACTTAGACCACAAAAATTTTTTTAAATGAGCATCCACAACCATTCAGTCAAGAAAATAAAAACCTGTATCCGTCACCTCAACCTGCAACATTTTTGGTAACATGAGCTGAAACCCAGTGTTCATCATTCCCTTACATTTATATTTTTAATATACATGGTTGTATAACCAAGAAATAGATGGCATTATTTTATATATTTTAAATGTAACTTTATCATAGGGTACATATTTTCCCAAAACTGACGGTTTGGCTCACCATTTGTGAGGTCACTTATGGAAGTGACTTTTCTTCCAATTAAAGGGGAGAGCCATTTCACTTTTTCCATATGGCTATGGAAGGCACAACCCCTTTCTTACTAATGTAAAGAGCCACCCATGTCACCTATGAAGCACTTGTATACACATAGGGCTCTGTTCCTCCACTGTCGAGTCTGCCCCATTAGTCCAGGTGTCCATTCTGTGTAACGTACACAGCTGTGAGCAGCTTTTCAAAACCACCTTCTAAGCTGGTTGGGCAAATCAAGCCACTTTCCCCTACAGCCCTTTGCTCTCTTGCATATGCACGTGAACATGCAATAAATAGACGTTGTGAAAGTCTGACTAGAATTATGGAACCTGGGATTAATTTTTTTGG